GTGCGGTGTACATAAAAATAACTAACCTTCACCTTGGGGATAAATGTTTTAAGTTTATTATATGTCACAATAATCACAAAGTTTCTAATTCTATGGTAAGGGTGATAACCCTAACCTTAACCTAAAGTTTTCAATGATAAAATTTCTGAGCGCCCTAGATTGAGTGGGTTAATGAATGGTACAAAACATTCTTTTAAATGCATCCATCTCTAACTCTATAGTACTAGTGTACCTGTAGGTGAAACAACCTGCCACAAGAATATGCTATTATTATTATTATTTTGTCTAAATATTTTTCGCAGCACATGCACTTACTTCTTTTGATACTTCATGGCCAGTATGTTCAAGCATTGATTTGGTCATTTCTAGCCGAGATGGATTTCTCTTGGCAACAAGCTTTATCTTTGCCTGGCATCCCAATTTGAAAGAACTGAAAAATATAAAAATTCTCAACGAATTGCCACAAGTGATCAGGGCTAATGTAGAGCACGAATGCCACGGTGTCATTTGCTTCTTTATTATAGTTGCAGTGAATTAGGGTTTAGGTTAGGTTGAGGGGTCGATTTAGGGTTCAGGTTCGGTTAGGCATAGGCATAGGGATCGATTTAGGGATACATTAGTGACTCATTAGTCGCGGCCATCGATAAAATAGTGGCATTCGTCCTCTACATTTACCGTGGTAAGAATCATTGGCTAGGACAAAGAATTATTACATGACAAGTCCAAATAAATTTAAAGTTAACCTATTATTACTTTATTACTTACGCCTTTGCCTTTAGTCTTTAGTTTGTTATTTTCTGTGGCCTGTTGTCGTTGAAGACTTTGACTTGCGTGTAATTCCTTAATTACAGCAGTGAATTGTACATTCATATTTAAGGTGTTCCAAATTGGGATCCTTCATCTTCTCTGGCGATCTTTTAGTGAAACACACATTGTGTTCTTTACAAAAATAATTCAATTCGTCTTCAAAAGACGCATAGGTGTCAAAAATGCTGCCAACCTCCATTTTTATAAAAGAAAGCGCGGCAAACTTGTCGATTATTAAGCCTCTGGTTCGTATCATGTTTTTTTTCGATTACTAAGACTTTCGGGTGCGAATAGTCATTGGCGCCGATGGGTACTCGGGTACCTATAGCCACTTCGTTTAAAATAACCATCAAAGAAACCATGTTGAAAATAATATTTTATATAACTTATTAATTTGAAGCTTAAAATTAGAAAAGAACAAATAAATAAAATCATGCATGCTAAATTAACCACCACTGTTGTTTATATTAGTTTTAAATTACTATGCTGTCTGCTTCTGTCCACAGAGTGAGCACTCAGTGCTTTTAAGTATTGATAATAAAATTTATATTATAATTAGACTTCATAGTCCAACATGTTTGAATGAAAAGTATTAACATGTTATTTAGCATGGTTAATAAATAATGTTACATTAATTTAACTTGATTCAATACTGGGTTTATATAGAATAGTTCTAGAGTGAATAGAGAAGGCCTGATTTAATTATACTTTGTTTAGTATACTGTAAAGGTCATCAATAAATAATGTCCACATCTTTGGGATCCGCTGAATTTGGATAATGTGTTATAGGGTGCTTGAAATGATGGGGAGTAACGGTAAAAAAGTTGCCAAAATAGTGTGATACCCTTTATTATGGATGGCCCCATAGGCCTATAGCTTGCTAAGTTAGTAATACTACTGATAACTGAACTAAATATCATATAGTGACTATTTTATTATAGGCCCCTACAAATTATAAGCTACTACTTATGATTTAAGTAACACAAGCTTTTGTACACGACACTCATGATTTCTGCACACGGGACAGAGCGGAGAGCTATCTAAGAATAGCTTGTGTTACAATTTATACAAAATGCTACTAATGAGCAAATGTTATATTTATAGCTTGGATTTTTTAATAGTCAAATGGTATAATTTTGGCTTAGCAGTAGGTCTACGATAATAACTTATGAAAGTAATTAACTTAATTTTGTAGGTTAGGGGGCCATCCAAAAATTATGTAAGCTAAAAATGATACATTTTTAAAAAATAATTCTTTGCCCATATATTTTTTACATGATCCTATTTGTGTGTAAAAATAAAATCCCCTCACCACCGTTTTTAAAGCACCTGTTACAGTTTATTTCTACACACTTGACATATACAGCATTAAAATGAAGCCGGGGTAAACATTGTTAAAAATTATGTCACAGATTTTCTCCACTGTCTGCTATCCATATCCAATATAACTTAAAACCATTCTTTAGCTGAACAAAGAAATTGTGAGCAAATTATGACACACTCACAAATACTAATTTAATTTATTACAATTACTGTTTTGAGATCTTGCGACTTCACTTGTGAAAACAAAAAGCATCAGTATGATGATAATTATGGAACTTTACTGTGATGTTTTTATAGCCTAGGAAAATAATTAGGAATCATGGATTTTACAACTTTTTAGATGACAGATAGTTTTAATAAAGATATATAAATAGGCCATTTATGGACTTTTAGAATTTCAGGATATTTATTCCATTAAAATGTATGTTTACATTGCGATTGTGCTGAAACACAAACACACACATCCATCCCCGAGTTATGCTGCGACACCCCCCCACACACACACACAAATTATAATTATGCCAATTATGCTGATACTGATAGAAATTAGAAAGCATGGCATGGCATATCTCTATAATTTATAATTATAATCCTCAACCGCTCCTATTCCAACCATAATTTTACTTTAACTTTATTTATTATACTTGACTTAGTTTAGCCTTAGCATATGATTAGTGAAGTAGTAGTAGTAGTGAAGTAGCGTAATTTAATAAGACTGTTCACTGTTAGTAGTGTTAGTAGAAGTAGTGTTACTGAACTGTGTTGACATAATTTTAGAATATATGGAGCCTAATTTAAATTTGAACACTTCAAGCCACAAAAACATTAAAAATTATGATTAGTACCGCAGCAGTAGCTTCCATATGCTATGTTAATAACTATACAAAATTAATCAGACAATTAACAATTTTATTGAATTTCCACTGTAAATTAGTAGTTAGTAGAAGAAAGGCCGGAGTCGCCTTCTAAAACTAAATGATAACAGGTGGGATCATCTAAGCATCATTCGCTACCTTTGCATTCTTTATCTGCACACAATCGTTTATTTGATATTGGTTCTTTTTTCGATATAGAGTAATCCGCTTTCATAAACAAAAGAATCAGAATAAATATCACTTCTAAACTTGACGACATATAGTACGCTGCCATGTTTTGACTCCTCACCAATTACACGTCACACAAATATAAATCAATGAGTTCTCCCTCAAAGATCAGGATCTTTTTATTATTATTTTTTAACCAAGATTTGGTGAGGGAGCCTTCAATGTGTTCATTTGGGATTTATGCTTTGTAGCCTATCAATGCCAATAGATTAAATGATGTTAATGGATCGGGTTCGACTGAGGGCATAGTTTTTGGTAATTTTCACCCTTATTAAATTACCCTTTATTCCAAATATATCGAATTGCACGGTGTATTTACAGGGGTCAAGTCCTGAGAACTCAAAAGAGTGGGATAAATTTATGATAAATATTTATTTATTTATTATAAGCAAATCACAGTGTAACATTTATTATAAAATGCCGGTTGACGCATGACATCATGTATTAAGCGGATTATAAAACAACCAAATTCGTTAACCTGTTTGCCTTACTAATAAAATAACCACATCATCGGGTGAGGATCGTCCTCTCATTTACCTGCCACACAACTCGCATAGTCCTACCGCATGGGACTGTCTTGATGGACTGCTAGCGGGAACGGCGTTCCTGCTGTGTACAAAGTACAGGCACGCTATTGCCATGGGATTCCTGCAAAAACTCGAGCACTGTGTGTTTGTCTCATTAATGGTCCTAAATCCTAAAAATTAAGAATAAAGTGATTATATTATAATACATGTAGGCCCTATATATACACAGGTCTCACAAGTCGCCAATTTTAAGTCGACTATAACCTTGATCGTTTCACGCGCGAAAGAGGAACAACAAAACAACATATTCTTAAATATGGAAATAATGTTGTTATTCGTCCTTCGCATTCGAAGAATGCGAACAATGCTATTTTAAACGGTGAGTATGCAGGTGGCTTGACTGTCTTATTTATGTCTGGAATGCTTTCCAACTCGAAGCTCACATGTTGTTTTGGGTGTGGGTCCTAGTTGGATTTGAGTTGATTCTGTTTTTCCTTGCCACGCGCTTTCTTTGAACGTGAGTGATGCGCTTCTTCTCTTGAGGACTGTGTTCCACTAGTGAGTCTGCCTCGCCAGCTTGTGCGATCCATAGTTAGTGCTTCTCACGAATCAAGGTCAATGTCAAAGGATTTGAGTGAAGCTTTTAGACAATCCTTGTAGCTTTTTTGTCTGCCTACTAGCTTAGCGTTTCCCTCTGGAGAGGTCACCGTACATTAGTCGTTTGGGAAGTCTTCTGTCTGCTATTCTTGCAACACGCCCTGCCCACCGGGATGGTCATATTTGTAGGAGCGTGTAGATGCTGATAAAGTCAGCCCGTTGTAGGACTTCTGTATCAAGGAATATGTCCTACCACCTTATGCCAAGAATTTTGCGTAGACAGCGTAGGTGGGGATGGTTTAGCTGTCTAGCATGTCTGCTGTACACTGTCCACGTCTCGATAGCATATATGAGAGATGATAATACGATTTCTTTATATACTTTCAGCTAAGTGACAATACTGATACCCCATCAGCTCCCAAACACTCGAGCAGAGCCTTCCAAATGCAACATTTGCTTTATTTATAGGTGGCCCCAACGATTTCTCAAACTCAGCTCTAACCTTTACGTGGACTTATTCTAGTTAATAAATGCACATTTTGAACGCATTATTTTGTTTTACCATATAGTATAGTGCGTTCAAAAATACATTTAACGAAAATTTTATCGTGAGTACTGGAAAAAAAAAATTAACCAAATTTCCTCTCGATCAAACTTCCGTCGATCAATTTTTCGTCGACAAAATTTCTTTCAAACAAATTTCCGGTAACCCACCCTTATATATGCTATTTCACTATTGATGTTAGACACCATGCTTGTCGATTCCCCCAATCCGTTTTTAATATCATTCATCGTTTGGACTAACATGACTACCTTCGAGTTTTACTCGTCAGAGCCATCGCGTGGGCCCTGCTCCTTCTACTTCCATGGGCCCACGCTCTGGAACCAGCTCCCCTTCCATATCCGTCATTGTGAAACCTCGTCCATTTTCAAAAAGTCCCTTAAAACTCATCTGTTTAGGTTAGGTCCGCCTATGACCTGTGATGCACCCTCCTTGCCCTGCCTCATTTTCTGTTTCGGGTTGATCCTGAAGTATAGGCCAAAACGTGTCAAAGTGTCCTCGTTTTATAGCCATTTTCATTGTTTCTATAGTATAGTAGTTACTATCCTAGTGTCTCATTTTTATTTTACTTAGTTTACATGTTTTTAATAATTGTAAAGCGCTTAGAGCTTTAAGGTAAGCGCTATATAAAAATGCCTAAATAAATAAAATAAATAAACCCATGCGGAAGCAAGGAAGGGGGCCTTGGATATTTAAGGGGCCCAAAGTTGTGAGGTGTAAAAAATAATAGAACGTATTTTAAAATGCATTTAAATGACTGGGTTCTGCTTCTGCTAGATTTCCTTGCTCAACTTACTCATTTTATAGTTTGTGTCTTTACATTGTGGATTTCAATAGTAAATGCATGTAATGTGCAATTATGCATCTAATATTTATCTGATAACAATCAAGGATTTAAAATTTTCAAGTGAGTTTAATTCAACAGAAGGAAAAAAATAAATATATTATATGTAAAAATAAAATCAGCATTAAGGCATTATTCTTAACTTCAAATAGCGATATGAGATAACTTCCAAATCAATTCCGTTAACTCTGCGCATGTACGGAAGTATACATCTAAGCAATCTGAGTAGAAACTGAAGAGCTAAAATAATTGAAGAACCATGGTTTAACTATAAACGATTCCTAAAAAGTTCCGTCCTTCGCGACGATCTGTTCAACATTACAACAATGTCGGCAGATATTTTAAGAAGAAATCCACAGGATGACTTTGAACTTATACAAAGAGTAGGGAGTGGTACTTATGGTGATGTTTATAAGGTTTGTATAACTCAAGTCGACGTTGAATTCAGATTATTTTTTGAGAGAATTGTTTTTTTTTTCCTCCACTAGTCCCTAGTCCTAGACTCTAGTAGTCAAGCTATGTTATGATCTGGATTTGTAAGCGGGATTGTTGTCGTAACAGGCTAGTTAGAATAAAATTTCATTGTTAAGATGGAGTTATCCTAGCAGTACCTCTGTAGTAAAATGTAAAAATTATTTCGATTAAAACAATCAGCATCAATTTAACTAGATTTACAATTTTAATAAATACGATCTAACTACAGACCTGTTTACTCTTACGATTTTGGCGTACAATGTACGATTTTGAGGTGTATACATTATATATACGGCACGTTTTTGCTCTATAAAGAGAATGTATTGAACGATTATATGATATGATGATATTGTACGATTTTAAGGGTTCGAGGGTAAACAGGTCTGTTACTAAATTTATTTAGTCAAATTACCTTTACACTTCATCTTAACTTAGCCTACCATTTTCTTGTAAAAAAAAAAAGATACATTTAGATTATTTGAAATAGGCTAACTTATAGCCTGTTAATAACTGTTAATACTAGTTAAGTAATAGGCATACATTTGGTACCACTTAGATTCAGTTAGCGGCAGAGCTGGCAATGTCTGTCACGCCCACGGTAAATGGGTCATGGAGGTTCCCCAGGTCATTTACCAGCCTTAGTTCCTATTCAAAATATCTTGATTTTTAGCTCTGTATTTTTTAAAATAAATTTTATTCCCCCCATTTTATTTTTGCCTTGAAGATGTTCAGTGAGCCTATCTGCTAATCTTCTCAGACTGAACATCTTCGGGATATTGAACAAGGTAAACTTTCCTCAGTCCTCAGTCTCTTCACATTTTATGGAGATAAACATAAAAGTGCATCAGATGTTTCCATCATGGTACTAATTTCCTGTACCAACACGCCAGAGAGAGTTAAAATGGAAGCAAATTTATTCAGCTTTTCTGCACAATATCACCATATGGAATTAATAATTAATCAAATACTTTCTTATTATTGAGTCTCAATTTCCCTTTTTTCCCTTTTCAAATCTCTAAAAAATTTTGGTTGATTAAGATTCTAGACCTTATTTTTTACTGTAAATGTATATATATTCTTTCACTTCCTATAATCTTGATTTTTTAAAAATCCTGCTTCTGGCAACAGTAATGGCAATCACTTAAATTTTTAATTGTACTCTGTTTTTTGTCGTATTTTCATTTATCCTGTTTCCTGAGGATGGCTCTTAGCTGAAACATTCACATCTTATTGTCCTGTTTTTTTTATTCAAGCTTCCAGATACCTTTTTCTATTATTTCATTCACACAGCTTGAAAACAGTCCATCAATTATTATTCCTTATATTTAGAAATAAGTAGTCCATAAGCAGTATTTTTTTCATTGGGGTTTATTGATTTATATAGACTATATATAATGGATGCCGCCGTTAGACTTAACAAACAGAATAGCCATATTGTATATATTCAATTTACTAATAATACATAGTTAGCTAGGTTACAATTTATTTATAATTGCACAATATTGTTAAAATTACTTTTTAAAATTAGTTATTTTAATTTAGTGTTAATCCTTAAAATAAAAGTTGTATAAAATTATCATTAAAACTTCAGTTACAAATACAGCATGACGCAAAATAGCGGTAGTTGGTCACAGAATGAGATTTGGTCCATAGTTAAAAAAAAAAGGACAAATGAACTCATACTTTGAAAATTCATAGCTCAAAAACTGCTAAGCCTTAAGAGCTAATTTTATTTTTTAATTTAATGTTTTCTCTTCAAAGCTATATTAATTTAATATTTAAACTTTTTTTTACTAAGGTACCTACATAAGTTTATCGTGATAAGATTAGCATAGAGTGGAAATGGGCCTGCATAAGTAGAGCTCTCAATGAGCCCAGGAATGCTTGGTATTATTTATTGTTTAATGTGCATTATAATTTCAACACCGCTTATTTCTGCTCTTTTGCCAATACCAGGCCATTGTTGATGATTGTGCTCAGACCTCGGATTGCAACTTTATTTAGGTGTATATAGCCTTATATACTAATAAATATTAATCTTTGTGTCTATAATTCGGGTTCACAGTAACACCCCTAGCCGAGAATATGTAGATAAGGGCGAGCACAGCCAGGTGATGGATCTGCCACATATAACTAAGGGATGCAATTAAGTTGCAACATTTTGACTTAACATCTTATTCTTATGAGGCGTTAATTTCCTTCCTCTACCAAGCATAGTTAATAATAAACATTAGCAGCAGTAGAGTAGTGGCTTATTGCTGTTTACTCTGTGAAATTAAAAGCAAATATGGAGGAGAAAAAAATCGAGAAAAGACTAAATTTAACCCTATAACTATACATTAAACTCATTTGTATCTTTCTTTGCCTTGATTCTCTCTGCCCAGCACCAACCATTATTAAATGCTGTTTTTAGCCTCCACTTGGACCTAATTAAATTGTAGCCTGTAGTACTATTAATTTTAAGTAGTTAGTATTAGACTTGGTTACTCTGTAGCAGCTACTGAACTAGACACTTGAGCTAAGAAGTCGATTTAGATCTTCGGAATATTCATATATCTTATTTTATTATTATTTCACCTTTTATTTAAGTGTGTTTTTTAAACTTTCTGTGATTTGGTCTACTATAATAACTTTATGAAGGTCAGTTCAATTAACTGAATGAATTCATGGTTACACCAGCAGAGAATACCAATATAAGCAATTTTAGACTTCAACAGATTATTCAACAGAAAATTAGTACCGGTAATCAATAATTTTGCAGAGACTAGTATTATTAACATATGAAAAAATTTTAAAGGACAAAGTTTTTGTTGTTACAAATATCATTCAACAAAACATTCATATAGAAAAAGTGTAAAAATGTATGCATATTCGCTACATTTATACTGATCAGTCCATGTATAACTTTCTATGATAGTCGTAACTAACCCTTTTTAATGTCAACATAAATTATTCACAATTGACTATTAATTTTTTTTTTTCATATCTTCCTGATGCCAAGAGTATTTATAATAACCACTAATTGTGTAAAAGTATGCCTACATTATTTTCAATCTTGCCCATGCAAAATATTTGCCGACCCCTGCTAGAGTATTACACTAATGATATTACTTCGGTGTATATGCCCTGTTTGAGAACTATAGACTTTATTTTCTTTCAAATCTTTCAAGGCCCGGGATCTCAACACTGGGGAACTTGCTGCTATCAAAGTCATCAAGTTGGAGCCTGGTATTGAATTAGTGTAGTTCTTATATAATTTTTAAAAAATTCTTAAGGTGATATATATTTAAGATTATTATGAGAAATACACTTCACACCTTTGTATAAAATATACGTGCATTATGAGCATAATATTTATTATATATATTTCTATAATTTTATATATTATCAGGTGATGACTTTGCTGTCATTCAGCAGGAGATCATCATGATGAAAGACTGCAAACATTCAAATATTGTTGCCTACTTTGGCAGTTATTTACGGTGAGATTAAATTGTTAAAATGTCATCCTTTTTTTTTAATTTGAAGAACCACCAAATGAATTGAGAAAATATTCTCACTTTAAATTTTTAAAATTAATTATTTAAGTACTTTTTTTTATTTCAAGCCGAGAAAAGTTATGGATAGCAATGGAATACTGTGGTGGAGGATCTATGCAAGATATTTACCATGGTATGTAAATATTATTAATGCTTTAAACCACTTTTGGCCTTCAAGATTTTACATATTCATTTTAAAAAAAAAAAAACAACAAAATTCTCATGTCATTAAATATTTTTCAGCCATTCCTGTTATATTTGTTCAAATGGGAATTCCTTAAAACATCTTTTTTGATTACAGTGACTGGGCCACTTCCTGAACCAACAATAGCATTTGTGTGCAAAGAAACTTTGAAGGGTCTTCATTATTTACACAGAAGAGGAAAAATGCACAGGGACATAAAGGTAAATTTGTTAAGCTTAATCCATGGTGTAATCACTGTATTTAAAACTATATTATAGTTGTTTTTTTTTCCTTTGAGATTGACATAATCAGAGACATGAGTCTATACATAAGCTTATTTTAGGTTTGAGTCTACTCATTTAAGGTTGTTAAGCAAAAAAAAAAAAAAAATAAATAAAAAAATTAATAAAATTGTTTTTTTTTCCTTTGAGATTGACATAATCAGAGACATGAGTCTATACATAAGCTTATTTTAGGTTTGAGTTTACTTATTTAAGGTTGTTTAGAAAAAAAAAAAAAAAAATAAATAAAAAAATTAATAAAGTTTATGCTCCATCAGAGTAATTGGATGAATGTTTCGTTATGTTTTTCCTCAGGGTGCTAACATTTTAGTAACAGATGAAGGGGACATAAAACTAGGTAAGTAACGTTTATTTTTTAAATTAATCCACCTGGATTCACACTATACTTCCAATGTCCTCAAAACATTTTTCTCTCAACACTTAAAATGAACAACAACTGCATGATTAATTTTTTATATGAGCTTTTTATCAAATGAAATACTAAAACTAATATTATTTCTTATTATAATCCTGCATTTTAGCTGACTTTGGGGTATCTGCTCAAATAACAGCTACAATGTGCAAACGCAAGTCTTTCATTGGAACTCCTTACTGGTAAATAAAAATCTTAAATAAATAGCATTTTAATGTCATTTTTCAGTATGCACTAGCCATCACCTCATCTCTATCTTATGTCCATTCGATGAATTTAATGTACTCTTAGAAAGTGCGCTTTATTTTTATATAGGATGGCACCGGAGGTGGCAGCTGTGGAAAGGAAAGGAGGTTATAATCAGCAGTGTGATATTTGGGCAGTTGGAATTACTGCAATTGAGTTTGCTGAGCTGCAACCTCCAATGTTTGACTTACATCCAATGAGGTTTGAACTGTTTTGTTTTCTTCACTATCAGTAGGTTTTATTTTTAGTTTAGCAGCATGTTCTGCCTTAGTTTATAATGTCAACAGATAATTGAAGAAAAGAACAACAAATTTCAACTTGTAAGCCATGAATGAAACTAGTGCATGTTTGACAGGTTGCTTTTTAGGTATTAGAATAGAGCAGTTTAAAGTTTGGACCGGTGGACAAGTTTCAAAATTGCACCAGGGTTTGGTGCCAGATTTATTATATTATATTATTTATTATATTATCTTTTTATTTGACCATAAATATTCATTTTGTGCTGACCGGCAATATAAGTTTTGCAGACTGGTGTTGGTCTATGGATCACCATTTGGGGATTGCTGGCATAGAGATCACATAATAAATAATGCAAATACCGAAACGGAATTGTGCTTCCAATAAAAATCTGTGATTACCTTGTGTACTGGGTCATTTGTATAGAATACAATCTCAATTTCTTAGCAGTTTAGACATAAAGATAATTTCGTAATATTAAGCCTAAACTCTTCTTAAAATGTTTTTTAATGCACACAACTTACACAAAAAGACAACCATCTTGATCGGTATATTAAATTTAAAATAGATGTTTTGTTTTACAAGGTGTTTCGATTGTAGCTACTATTTAATTCTGCATGGAGCCATGTTGCTACCGTGTAGCTTCTTTACTGGCAACAATGTTTTCTAATTTAGCTGTAGAAAAACCTTAATCTTCCTCATTACATATAGAAATTACTTTTTACAACAAAAATATAATTTACACTACACCTCTCGTATCATATGAATTTATTAGCAATAATATATGTGCTTGTTATTAACCTGTATTTATTTCCCCAGGGCACTCTTTCTAATGTCTAAGAGTGGATTTAAGCCACCACAGCTTAAAGATAAAAATAAGTGGTAATGTTTAAGTTTTAAAATGATCATTTATATCTGTCATAATTGTTTTATCCTAACCTACGATGATGGGTTATTTTAAATTTTTAACCTCCAGTTCTTTTTGGTTTGAAAAATTTTTAATTTGACTCTATGAGCACAAATTGATTTATTAATTATTTACAGGACTCCAGTATTTCAAAACTTTATTAAAGTGGCCTTAACAAAAAATCCTAAGAAAAGACCTCCGGCAGAAAAGTTGATTGATGTGAGTACAGTTTAAGTTGCATAATGAGTTTTTGCTTAATATTGGATTCCTAATCTTTTAAATATTAGTTTAGAGTTTCATGCTATTAGTTGTAGAACTTGACCTTAGAGCCCGGCATCATATTTCTAGTTTAATATTTGCTAAAATTATTTTTTAGACCATGTGTGCTATTTGTAAAATTATTTGTTGACGTAATTATATTTTCAAAATGTCCCCCCACCCCCTGTTTAGCATCCTTTTCTGCAAGGAGATTTAAGTAGAAGATTGACCAAGGAGCTTCTTGAGAAGTCAAGAAATCCTACACACAACTTTGACCTAACAGAGGATGAAGATGGGGTGAGTTAGTATTGAATATTCTGAAATAGTTGGTTACCAGAAATTTGATCGAAAGAAATTTCGTCGACGGTAAATTGATCGACGGTAATTTGATCGACAGGAAATTTGGTCGAATTTTTTTTTCAGTTCACACGTTAAAATTTTCGTCAAATTTCTTTTTGAACGCACTATACTATATAGTAAAACAAAATAATGCGTTCAAAAAGACATTTGAAGCCAAATTTAAACAGAAAAAAAGGTTCGACCATATTTTTGTTCGATCAAATTACCGTCGATCAATTTACCATCAACGAAATTTCTTTCGATCAAATTTCCGGATACGGAAATAGTTATTGTTAAAACAAATAATTTATTATTAGTAATTCTGCTTGGATTATAATTTTACTTTTTAAATGTGCAAAAAAAAATTTGGAATTTGATCAGCATACTGTAATGGCAATATTTCTCATGTTTTTTTTTTCTCTAACAGCTTTTACAAGATGTCCCCAGACGAATACCATCAAACAAAACTGCACGTCAACTTGCAGCCACAAACAGTATTGAGCTTAAAGGTAATTTGGAAAAATATTTGGTTGTCTGAGCAGGATAATCTTTTTAAAAAAATGCAAACTTAGAATACTTCAGACTTATAAAAAAAAATTTGTGGATAAATTCACCATTACATCCATATGTAGATAAAATTGAAAGTTTAATCATTTGGAATTTTCCTACAAAAAGTCAGTTCTTTTGTTATTGTTGGGAAATTAAAATTGAATAATTAACAACTGTTTCATATGTTTTTTTAAAACTCTTTTCATTTCAGTTAAAGTAAATTTAGATCAAGTTGAGGTATGTGAAAAATAAATAATGTTAATGTAACATTGTAATAATATTTGAAGCAGGACTCTCAATGCCCCAATTGAAAAAGGAATTTTTAGTGAACATTTACACTTTGTTAAGAACATCAATGTGGTGCATCTTGGTCAACTAATTTAGTTTCCCTTTTCATATTTATAATTTCATGAGCTGGAACTACCATTTAAGTGAATTATGTATGGAGTCATACAAATTTTTGAATTTTGTAATGATTATAAATCTTTTAATATACAACTATGTCATTTCTGAAACATTTTTCAGTGTAACTCATATTAATAAATAAAAATTTAATAAAAATGTAATTAAAATTACATGAAGAGGCTGTAAAAACTGAAAGGTATTTAGTATCTACTGAAGGGTTCATTTTTCTATTAATCTAAGGAACTCTCTTAATTGTGGACAACAGCAGTGCAAAGTACTTGTAATTATCAAATTTTTATTCCAGGATGAAAAATTCAATACAGCCAAGCCTTGGTTAGAAGATGAACAGTCACAAAAGTAAGTAAAATTATTTTTCCTTCTATGACTCTTTGTCTACACAAAACTGTAACATTGACACACTGGGTTTCCAAGGCTTTCTTTTATTTTGTCACTTAACATAATGCAACTATAATTTCTTGGAATATTTTAATTACCAAATTTTCTATATATAGTTTTTGTTAATTTCATCACAGTAGAGCTTTTGCTTCATCAACAGTTTAAAACAGCAGCCTATTAATATAAAAAGATAGTGCCACTTTGACATGCCACAGCTTTCACTCTAAAAAGACTGCATTTTTCTTGTTTTACAGAAATGAATATGTCTTTCTTCACATTTTACATAGGGGCTCTAATTTAAAGAAAGTAATGCTTTGAAGTTTAATGTTTAAGGAAATTGTATTCTTTCAGATAGATTGTTTTGAAAAAGCAGTTTATGAGATTAAAATAATAATAATAAAAAAAGGGGGAAAATGTAATATTGATAAATAAAAAATAATAATTTTTCAACACATCCAAATATCTTTTTTTTAAAAACAGAAATTTTATGTAATAAAATAATAAATATTTTTTGAGAAGAAAATTGTGCGCAAATATTCCATTTCTCCATTAAAACATGTATTCTGCAATTGAGCATGGGGGCTTTTATTCTGAAGCCTCTTACATGCTTTCTCTGTCATTCTTTAGTAATGAAAGGCTCATGTAGATAATTAGATGAGTACAAGAAACATCCCCACTCCCAACCAAAAAAAAACTACAAATTGTCACAAATTTATTAAGACAACAGAACAATGAACAATATTTAATATTTCTTGAATACGTCATATTGTGGACTTCATATTCAATGTCAATACCATGTTATAATTAATAAAATGACTCATTTGTTTAGGCATGGTAATAGTGGCTATAAATTTCACATGAAATATTTGATTGATTTCTCCAGAATATTTTTAAATATGGAAATTTCCCAAAGTTTAGCAATACAATCTGTGATCTTCAGGATTATTATTTTTTGAAACTAAGTTTCAACTATTTAAAAAAATGGAACAACAACCTACAACCACACACTCACACACACAAACTGAAAACAAATGAATTTATGACTACCCCATTGATTATGAGTGAACTGATATTTAACTTATAAAAAAATTATTGTTTATTAATGTCAACCAATATTTTATCTGTCAGTCACATCTGTTGTATGTTCACATTAAAGGTCACTTTGGACAAAAGAATCAGTTATTATTTTTTTTGTTCATAACCAATCATTAAAAAGTGCCTGTAACCTTTCGTTATGTTACAGTTCCATTAACTGGAAATCTTTTTTTTGTTCTAGATTTCTGCATATAATAATAAGATAACATTTTGCTAAATAGCAATTCAACATTCTCTTAGTATATAATTTTTGATGAAATATTCCAAAAGATCATTCTGATATTTTAATGCCTTGTCATTTGAATTTTACTATCGCTTTCTCATTCGTGTATTTGAAAACCACATGACTTAAAATTCGAAATTAAGATAAATTTGAAATTTTACACATGTAATTGAAAAAAAAAATGCAGACAACGAGGAAAGTCTTAGCAGTCACCTTCTTGGCTATTAATTGAAGCCAAGGCGTCTAACTTGAGTTATGGTTACATTTTTTATCCAATACCTGCCTCAATCCCACTCAAAATATTTGGAACCTTATTTGCTGTAGATTTAATATGATAACAAAGTTAAAGAATCTGTTACTTACATTCCTCTTCTTCAAATTTAATTCTATTTCATCTTATTCAAACTTATATAGCCAGGTAGTAGAAAATGCTTTTTAAAAAAAAAATTATCATATTTGATGCAAATAAATTGTTTATTTTTTTTTTTTTTTGGTTGGTTTGTGTTTTTGGTCAATTTTTTTTTACAGCTTCAAGATTTTAAATTATTTTAAAATCTTTTTCAAAACAAATTCAAACTTATATAGCCAGGTAGTAGAAAATGCTTTTTAAAAAAAAAATTATCATATTTGATGCAAATAAATTGTTTATTTTTTTTTTTTTTTTGGTCAGTTTGTGTTATTGCTCAATTATGTTGTACAGCTTCAAGATTTAAAATAATTTTAAACTCTTTTTCAAAACAGCTATGCTTCAATTAGTGCGAGTATAATTAGCACAGTATAAACATTTTGTGTCAAAATCTACGTCTTGGGGAAAATAATGAGTTACTTAATTTTCTTTGTCCATCCCACTACTTATAATTTTTCAGTTACAGTTCATGAAATCTCTAATTTGGATATTTTCAACTTCTTAATTGGCTTCAATTTCTTTTTTTTTTTTGTGTCTCCTTTCTTTACATCTGTCATCACTCAGGAGCTTGCTTGAGTGTGTTGAGGAGGAACTTTCTCAAAGGTAAAAAACTGAACACCAATCCGAGTGAATGATTGCATCAGTCTTTTACATTCCATCATCTTTTTCTTTTTCCTTTGCTTCTTGTCTGATCATTCATTCGCATGGTTGAAATGAATCCTCAAAGTGGGGGGTAGAAAAAATATCACCCATGAATGCTACAGAAATCCTTATCATATATATTTCTTTGATATAGGTCTGAAAATATATCTCATGATATCACACATTTTGTCTCAATATATTCCTTTTTTTAATAACTAATAGAGGCTCATATATATTGAGAAAAAAAATAATTAAATTCTTAAGTTCTGGGTATTTCTTTTTAAATCTACATTTCACTTTTGTTATTAAAGAAATATAAATAAACTTGGAATTTTTATGTTTAATAAGTAATTTTGTAAACTTGACCATATTTGATCCTTTCACTGAAGTCATTAATTTTTCTTGACACTCTTAAGTAAAAAAAACCAACAAAATAGTTGGATTAAAAATATATGGGCAATTACTTTCATTCTAAAGAGATTGCTTAATGAGTACAAACCGTTTTTTGTATACGGTTTAGAAATGTTTGCAGTTTATTAGTATCCCCCCCTCCTTTCCATCCCAAAGTTACTTGTTTCTTCTTTTAAAAAAAAAAAAAAAGCCAGTATAAAAAAAAAAGCCAACAATCTTTTCAGAGGCCATCGGAGTAGTTTATGTTTAGAGGATGGTATACCTTCTGTTCATGAAAAGTAAGGAATTACTAGTTGCATGTTAATTACAGATGGATGATTCCTTTCAGTTTGAATTACCTTTCCTCGTTTGTCATTGAGTCTATTTTTTTAGTCTCAATAGTTTTACCCAGTTAAAATCACTGTGAATCATTTTTTAGCTTTTTACTGTTGATTTATATGTAATAAATAAAACCCATTTACCCAATTATACTTTTATAAAAATGCTGCAGTATAAAATGCTTTATTTATCTTACAAGTAAATTGTAACAAATAATTTTGCCTGTTGCACCTTGTTAGTTTTATCACAATACCTGTACAATTTATGTACCTATTTAAGTATTTTTGTTTAGAAAGTTTTTTTTTTTTTCCCTTAACCCCTAATGACTTAAAATGGAATAGTTTATAACTAAGACCACTGTTAACCTAAACAAGTTTATAAGTTTATTAATTCTACTTATTGATATGCTTGCTGTATATCATATTACCACACAACACATTTTATATCTTGAAATTTAGTTAACTGAAACACCATAGAATTGTTAGACAATCTAACATGAGCACAGAATTGAAGTATCTCTTAGGACATTAAGTAACTGAGTAAATTTAGAAAATAGCATCAGTTGTATCATATGTGATTAATTTTTATAGCTATTAAAATGCAAGTACTTAAAAGAACAGTTAGAAATCAAAGTGTATAAAATATGTGTCACAAAAAGTTGGATGCCAGTTTGATTTCTTGAGTATTTTTAGAAGACCACCTCTAATTCACCTTCACATAGAAACCTTGAATATATATTTTTTGTTGAAATACAAGCCAAATTATGTTTAAGCGCTTGTTAGTTTCTTTTATTGTGTATAGCTCACAACTGTGTTAGCATTTTATCACATCTCATTCCAACGGACCAACATTTTTTTTCCCACTTGCTTTAAACAAAAAACGAATTTCATTTATATATTGTTAATTTTTTTAAATATATTTTTTTAACATGCTTAGTTTTTCCCAAATTATAAACTAATTTCCTGTCTTTAGATCATTCTCTCCACAAATACAAATTTAAAAGTCTAAATGTCTTCTGTGCCAAAAGTTTAAAAAAAAAGTATTTTTCCCATGACCACCTGGATTAGGTGTTGTTGTTACAGCTAGCTCGTGGCTTTGCATGGCAGATTGGTGTAGGGTGTAACATGGAAAACAAGTCCTCAAAGTACTTTATTTCTAACGCCTCACAAGTGAAGTCTTTTTTTATGTGTGAACTTGCTTGTATTTCAATCCAAAGGATTTCAGCAGTGGGTAATAGGGCAGTTTATTCAAACAAGGTCCAATAACCCAGTCTCCAGCTTAATCCTCTCCCTCAATACAACCCCTTGTTTATGTCAACATGGCTTAGCAGGTGTCGAACTGCAACTACAAAAGTCCAGTCCTCTTAACAATTTAGCAGTTAAAGATGACATTTCACAGTTTTGTATCTAACAGTTGCCTTTTGTTATAACAACAATGCTAGTGTTACCAGTTCATGAAGCAAATTTTGATGTTAATGAATAAAAGGTAGCCAATTATTGAATACAAAATAAGCATGCCTCATAAATGAGCATCAATTTTTTTTTTAAATTTACTTAAGTACCTTTAAAAATACCTTTATTTTGAAAGAATATAGCAGTATATTATCATGTTTTTAAATTTTTTAGTTAGTAATCTGATGTGTTAGATTCTTCCTTTTTGTTTTACTTTTATTTATTAAAGTACCAAGGTGGATTACAATGGAAAATTAATTATGAACAACAAAAAGAGAACAAATATCTTTGTAAAACAATGGTCCTGATATTTACAAAAAAAATAATTAAAATTTATAAAGTGATTTAATGTTCTTAAATTTAAATTGCTAATAGTAATTGTTCTTAATAAAATTGTCAAACCTTTAATGCCTTTAACAAAATAAGTTACTTTTAATGATAGCACCAACACATCCATTCATTTGTGATCTCTTGTTTGTTTCAGACCCACATTACAGCTTCATCCTTCTTCAGCACCTCCTCCTAAAGTGAGTGTTTATTTTCTATCACTAGGACTATCATTGCACAAGATGCTGAAGAAACATTAGTTTTTTTTAAAGCTTGACCAAAACATTGATAATAACATGGTTAATATTTTTTTAAAATCACTTTAAATGTGTACATTTGGTAAAACTTTGTCTGAAAATTTCATGGAAAAATGTCCCCTTGATTTTCTATCTATTTTTAAAGCTTGACCAAAACAATAATAACATGGTTAATATTTAAAAAAAATCCCTTTAAATGTGTACGTTTGGTAAAATTTTGTCTGAAAATTTCATGGAAAAATGTCCCCTTGATTTTCTATCTATTTTTAAAGCTTGACCAAAACATTAATAATAACATGGTTAATATTTTTAAAAAATCACTTTAAATGTGTACGTTTGGAAAAATTTTGTCTGAAAATTTCATGGAAAAATGTCCCCTTGATTTTCTATCTGGAATGAGCTCAACTTTTGTCCTTCCATGGACTGTCCAACACAGGCTTGTAGTGGTGCCAGATTTCCTGCCTGGCCATCCATGATGGAAAACACCTACGTTCCTACATCACTTATAATATACACTGCACAGATTACAATTTGCTATGAAGCAGTACTCTATTTGTATTTTATGATTTATTAGCTGGTTGGGGGAGTGCCACTAGAAAGATTTCAGCTTAATTTGTCAGCAAAATAGTAAACCATTTTAATTACTTGTCATTCCATTAGAGAGACATATGAGATAAACTTAGCTTTTCAGAAAGAGTTTGTTTCTTCTTGTTTTCAGCCTCCCAGAACATTGGAGCACTCTGGGGCTAAGGGGCACCATGATCGACTGAGTAAGTCCGAAGCTGATGAGGACAGTGAACTTCAGGATGATTTTGGTCCCGACATGGACTCGTTGATTGATAGGATGTTGACCTTGACCCCACAAGCTTCACATCCATCCTCTTTACCAGGTCTTGATTTAACTTGTAAGTATCTTTAAGTAACAGTGAATCTCCTGTTAGTAGCAAAAAATGAGTCAATACAAACAAGTTATTTGTTAAGTTCTGATGTAGGGATAAACAGATTAGAATATAGTACCTAGGTAAATGAAAATCAATTTTTTTTAACAAGATATTAGTAATATAATTGTAAAAACATACATACTACATAAATCAGTAGCTCACTAACAGCAGCAAATTTGAAATCGCATTAACAAAATAATTTTTATATTTGACATATAAATTATTTTGAAATCAACTTTCCTTTTTTATGCTTTGTTCTGCTCCCTCTGATCTAAAAATAATCTGATCTACCAAAAAAAAAAATTGTCATACTATTGAAAAAACATCACCCTTCTACAGCTCGAAAGCAGAAAGCCCACAGAACAGATGAATCTGAAAGCCCACCAGCGTTACCACCAAAAAAGTCACCAGTTTCTCCACACTCTAATGGAGATGTTTTACACACTCAGAATGGAGATTCACCAGAGGGAGGTGGGGAGGAGAGTAAGCCGCCTCCTGTTATTCCACCTCGAAGAAGATTAAAAAAAGAGGAAAATGTAAGTCAACCTGAAGGATGTGGAGAGTTTAAATAAGCAATTAGTTATAATTTTGAATTTAAAAAAATAATTTGCCTCTACTTCTTGGTTACCCAAAAACTCAGATCTCTAAGCAATATATATTAAAAATAAGCATGTAGTTCATTTTTGTTGTTGCTGTGCTGCAACTTAATTGTAGTGCTAAATTATTAGTCTTGCAATAATTAGTGGTGATTTGACTGCTTTGCCTCTGACTGAGCCGCTGTGTAATAAAAGTCATAATAGTTATGTTACTAAGAAACATTTATAATCCATGATAGAGTTTAAATAACTTGATCGACAGATACAAACTAGTCAACATCGTCCAGTTAGCAATGGTCTTCCACCAACACCTCAGGTTCATGTAAGTCTTGACTAACATTATTTTTACAAAGCTACACATGCATGATGCATGCTTTTTAATACCAGTATTATTTTCTTCGTTTTTTTTCCAATATTTTATAAGACGGCATCATTTTGGGATCAGATGATTTCAGAAAAACTGTCAAAATTTGATAATAAGTACTTAATGTTCACCCGTCAAATGCAGTAAAAAGCATTGATTTTTTTCACAACAGTGTTTATATTTTATGTCTAAGTTTAACAATTATACAAATAGAATTAAAGCCAGGGTTAATGAAGAACATTGATGAGGATAATGTGAATATTTTTTAAGCTTGTGCTGCCAAAAGTAAATGTCTGAATATTTGAGTGTCTGTACCTGCATTCTTAATCTTTCACAGATGGGAGCTTGTTTTTCCAAAGTATTCAATGGTTGTCCCCTGCATATAAACTGCACAGCCAGCTGGGTACACCCAGACACAAGAGGTCAGTTTCAGCTATTTGATGTTGTTTTATTATTTAAAGATAATTATGCTTAAAGAAAAAATAATTGTTTACAAAATAATCACTCTAACCTTGTTTTATCCAAAATTAAAATATATTGAATGTATGCTTGATTTAGGTATTTTTAAAAAAAAATGAAAATGGAAATTACACTGATATTACAAGGAATGTATATGAGATATTTTATTGCCATATTTTTTCAGACCAATATATTTTTATTGGGGCAAACGAAGGCTTGTATACATTAAATCTGAATGAAATCCATGAGGCTTCCATGGAACTGGTGAGTTAATTCACAGATGAAATGAATTGTGCTCACTGCTAATTGAACTAAAAGGGGGTTGGACTGCAATTAAGCATAACTAGATTATTAAGGCAAAATCAGTTTGAGTTAAGCAATACAGTTATGCTTTAATCAAAAGACAAGATAAAAGTTGAGGTGCTTCATCTAATGACTTCATCAGTGAAAACAAAATCAAAAATTGTCATGCAAAAAATATATCACTACACATTTGCATGGATTTTATTCCACACTTTAACAATGCATAATCTTTTACCCTTTAAATCTTCAGGTGCATGCAAGAAGGTGCATTTGGTTGTATGCTATAAAAGACATCTTGATGTCCTTGTCAGGTAAATTTTAACATACATTTAGTTACATGTGTTCAATTCATAAGTACTTGCATGCTTTTTCCAGCAGCAATGTGTCATGACTCACTCTTTTATTATTATTTTTTTTTTGCCAGGCAAAACCCCAACACTTTACAGGCATGATCTAATGATGCTCCACACACGACAAACAAGTAGATTTTCTCTACCCATGAATAAAATTCCAGAAAAACTTGTTCCAAGGTGAGAATACATTAAGTTTAAATGGTAATGAAATTCATGAGACTGACTCACTCGTGTTATCTAATGATGGAAGTATTGAAGTGTGTTAAAATGGATTTGCATTCAAGTGATTTTGTTCTTATCTCCACAGGCGCCTTCAGCCCACGGTTAAAGTTCCTGATTCACGAGGGTGTCTGCGATGCTGTGTTGGTCGTAACCCATACAATGGCTACCGTTATCTATGTGGGGCATTGGTTAACGGTGTCATTCTCATGCAGTGGTATGAGCCACTCAACAAGTTTATGTTGCTCAAGGTAAATGCCTTCAAGCATTTCTTCAAAACATTTAATGGGATATTTTCAAATAATACGGACAGTTAAGTTATATTTAATGATAAAAATATGGTGTCTTCTATTGTTAGGATCAGTATGATGAAACTATAGGCCTTCAAAAATTATAAACTTACAGATTTGGGGGCCAATAATTTCACAAATACACCGTATTTTATTTTGTACCACTTGTTTTATGTTTTTTTCTAATTTATGTTGTAAATGTCATTTAAATTAACTATTAAAAAAAAAAACAAATTAAATTTGTACCCTTGAATCAATTAAGTTTGTAACAATTGAATATTAAATGTTGGAGAGAGAAAAATGATTATATCTTTGCTTTGCTTTGCAGACTTTTGAAACCGAACAAATGCCACCCCAGCTGCAAGTTTTTGAGATGTTCATTAGCCCTGAGTTAGAGTACCCAATGGTGTGCTATGGCGTTAGGAAAGGGTATGTATTTTAAATAAATCAGAGGTAAATGTTGGCCTGGACTACCACTTCTTTCATTATGAATTTTGCAGTTGCTTCTTTTGTTTTAAAAATGTGAGGGATTTTACAGAACTGACTGAATGTTTACTCCTTACTTTAATGAAGGAACCAATTTAATTCTTTTGTGTCTGCCTCAGCCATGACAGGAACCATGTGAAATTTGATGTCATCAATTTGAACAGCATGACAAGCTGGTTTACAGATGTGGACCCAAACTCAGGTTAGGACAAAGATGTATTTTTTTTTTAAAAAAAAGGAGATAGCACACAATTTGAAATTTACACAACTTTGTATATAACACAGAATACTATAATAAAGGTTGCTGGGTGACTGAGCGGTTTAAACTGAGTCAATCCCAAGCTGTTGGACAGAATCTCAATCCCCAGCAAATGTCTAGACAAGCAAAGACATCGCCAGCACTACAATGTAAAAATGAGCATAATTCCAAAAATGTAATAAAATGCAAGAAAAATGCTCCATTAAAATAATTTTTAAGTGACATTTCTTGTTATTAAAGCTTATAAACTTGAAATTTTAGGGTCTCAAGTTTAATTTTTAAAATGACTGATTCTACGTGTTATGGAATTGCTGATCGATTCTACTTGTTATGGAATTGCTGATTGATTCTACGTCTTACGGAGCTGCTGATTTATTCTAAGTGTTATGGAATTGCTATGTGCTTTTTTTTTTCTTGTTTATAAAATTTTACTTGTAAAATGATTTTGAGTTTAAATTGTTTACTTTTTCAGCCGTGGACCTATTACCTGTGGTCAACGTCACCCAGCTGGAAAAAGATACAGTATTGATATGCTATGACAGTGAGTCGTTGTAGTGGCACATTATGTGTGAGCTGAATTGTAACATGTATGCAAGCACTTTTAAAAGTCACATTGAGTATTTTATTAACTTTTTTTGTTCATCTTACTGTAAATAGAATTTTTTTTAGCTATTTTTAGTGCAGCTGAAACTTTAGCGAAAACTTTACAAGTATATTGATTATAAATAATACTTTGCAGAATTTGTAAAAGTTGTAAGCTTGAATGGGAAGCTGAAATCCAGTAGGCGGCAACAAGCAGAACTTCACTTCGACTGTGTTGTAGATTCTTTAGGTAAGCTATTATTTAATTTTTTTTTGGTGCTGTTTTCACATTAAGAATTCTATTGACAGTACATTTCAGCATCTAAATTTTGGACAATCTCTTTAAATGTTATGGAAAAATGCAAACAGAAATATATCTTTCTGTTTTACAAAGGGAGATAGCTCAACTACAATCAATATTTCAGACAGGAACATTTTTTCACAAAAATCCTCATCACAAATAAATGTGATGAATAGTCTTAGAAAATCTCCCAGTACTTCATGACAAAAGTGTTATTGGTGAAAATCAATATAATTGTTTATAATGTTTCATATGCATTGTTAAATATGGCAGCTGGTAATTAAAAATTAAATTTAAATTACTGTTGCAGACCTTACAACTTACGGTCTTTTTCCATCAGTATCTTTGCCCAGTAACTGATGATAATATACTTTATTTACAGTAACTTTACAAGATAGTGTACTAGCCTTCCATAAACATGGCATGCAAGGACGAAGTTTCAAAGCCAATGAGGTAAGAACATGGCAGACTTTGGACGCAAACCAAAAAAAAAAAAAAGTATTTTAATTGGTTATTACGAATTGAGTCTATTCACAGAAGAAAAAAGTAAATCTCAAGGCGCAAATTTTTATTATGACTGGTTTAATAGCTGGAGTAAAAGGTGTGATTTGTGTGGAAAGGATGATGACTTAGTGTGGATCAAAAAGTGGATCATTATAATGAAATGTAATTAAAGTGCATACTATTAGCACTTGATGAGTTTTAAAATTAATGTTATGAAGTAAACTTTGTGCTGCAAAAGATTAATATATATAACTGGGGCTTAACTGGGAGAAGATTTTTTTACACCTGGGTTCGGTTATTTTGAGAAAATACCCCGTGGGTCCAAGTGTTACAAAATAAAGTTAACTTCTCATTTCTGTAATATATGTCGGTGTTGAAACAATAGACCTACAGACATACCTACATCATACCCATCGCTCTTAAATGATTAACATAAAAGTCGCCTCCGAAAAAAATTCAGCTGCTTCCTTTTCACAACCAGCCCTCCCTACTCAACATGATTTATAATAATAGTACTGAGTGGGAAAAAAAAGCAAGCAGCGGACGTCATGCACGATGGTTGAACTCAGGTTAAAAAGTAGGGGGAGGGCCGGTTGTGAAAAGAAAGCAGCTACACCAGAAGAAAATTTATATAAGAGATTATGTATGTCTTATGGATTATATGTTGTATCCTTTACATATATATTATGTAAATTCATTTTATACTTAAATGATTGGGGGTTTTTTGGTTTGATTTTGTTTTACTGATGAAGGTATTTGCAGAAACGTTTTATTTTTTTCACAAATTATTTGTGTCTCATTAATCTACTTGAAAGCTTTATAGTTGTCTAACACTTGCATAATTAGTTAATTGCAGCATAAGAAATCAGTAGAGCGACCCTTTTTATTTTAACATTAAAATAATTACCTTCAGAGCAACAAAAAAAATTTGGGATCGGATAAAAAAAAATTGTGTTATAATTTGTACTTCTTTTAATTTTAGGTGACTCAGGAAATAATTGATAAAACCCGGATATTCAGGCTCCTCGGCTCTGACAGGTAAGCTAATTTGAATTAAGAATTTGTTTTCATTTTATTTAATTTAAAAAAAAATTCTTTTCTATCTTGACTTTCCTGTCTTCAGTTTAAAATAATAAAAAGGTAAACTGTTGCCTCTTTTTTTAAAAAAAAGGAGATAGCACACAATTATTTCCCTTTTCAAAACAAAAACTGGCGTTTGTTCCCCTCAAAGTCTTAGCGTATCACAGTTACAGTTGTGAGGTTTTGTTTTGTTGGGAAGGCATCTCCAAATCATTGCAGTTACACACTTTAGTTACTATTTTCAATTTGATGTATCAAAATGTTTATTAGTTTCAACATTTCAAATTTGATCATCTCTCTCTCCTCCTCCCTCCTCCCCCCCCCCCCCATCTTAAAATCAAAGTGTGTTATTAAGTCTGCATGTGTAAAACAGATGAGTTGCATGTAAAGGACTGAATAACCAAGGGAGTTAGAGGAAAATAAAGGGTTTCACCTTCCTATCCTTATGCTTTGTTTTTAAAAAAAATAAAAATTGAAAAAAAGAACCAAGGAAGGAAATGTTGGAGCACATGACAACCTAACACACACACACAGGTACTTAATCACCTTTTTAAAGAAATTACTAAACACTAAGGACATGCTTGTACTTTTATTGTAAGAAGTTGAGGATGATCTCCCTTTCACAGCAAGATCACATGTTAAATAAAAAATATCATAATTTGTTAACTTCCTGGATTTATTAAGACAGGAGTAACTTAAATTGGAGAGACAAATGGCGTAGTTCAGGTTAGTGCCGTCACTTCGCTTCCACACAAAAAACAACAACTGAAGATGTCCGAAAATAAATGCCCCCCCCCCCCTTTTCCTCCATGTAAAGAAAACAATTGCTGCCACCTTCGCTCCTCCCACGCCACTGACTGCAGTTATGTTTGTGCACAAAGATGATTTGTAAACACCAATTTGCAGCTGTCTTTCCGCTGCTTTGGTGGTTGATGTTTTTTTTTGAACTCATGGGAAACCTTCATCTTTATTTGCTGCCAATTAGTTCCATCCACCTGACTATTTCAGGATAGTTTGGGATGACCTTATCTGAATTCAAAGCCAACATAAGACTGGGCCATGTGGGGGAAGGGACGCTTCCTGCATTATCATATACAACCTGTCTTCATCTAAATACAGCATTTTTGTTGTGTTACAGGGTTGGACCATTTCTGTGTTTGGTTTCTTGCACATAAATCTCATCCTCTATGACTCTTTACCCCACTGTTTATATGTGGCTAGGGCATGTGAGAAATATCTCACAAACACCAAAGAGAAATCATAATTTATTGATTATTATGAGGAGAAAAAAAGCGGGGGGGGGGGGAGGATCAATATACCATGTTATTAAAAATATCTTTTGATAACAGATTTAGCTTCTAAAGGTAGTAAATCACCACCCCATTGGCCGGCTATCATTTTTTCCAACTGTTTATATGTGGCTAGGGCATGTGAGAAATATCTCACAAACACCAAAGAGAAATCATAATTTATTGATTATTATGAGGAGAAAAAAAGCGGGGGGGGGGGGGGGATCAATATACCATGTTATTAAAAATATCTTTTGATAACAGATTTAGCTTCTAAAGGTAGTAAATCACCACCCCGTTGGCCGGCTATCATTTTTTCCCTATCATAAGTTAAACAATGACATGGCCAAGGGAAAAAGGTTGTACTGGGTAGGACTGGTAGTTACAGTATCAAAACCGGACTCACCTCTTGGGTGTTTTTGAGTTCTTAGTTTCCAACATTCAATCAAGTTGATTGGGTTCCAGGTTGAAAGATTTGTATCAGCATGCTTTTGTCTTAAGCAGGTGTTTAAATTCCTTTTAATTCAGTCGTCCTCTCTCTTCATGCGCTGTCTCTAACTCTAATGATTTTATTGTTCTTGGGTTTGATTTTTGTTTGAATGAGTATTAATGTCAAGAGACATATAGTGTGTGGTGGGGGGCCAAAATTTAAGGTTTACTACATGAGGTTACAATCAAAGGGAAGTTACCCCAGGCGTTCCTTGGAATTTTTGAGGGGGGGGGGAGACTAAGGTATCACCATAACTCATCCCCCTAAAAATAAATATATATAGACAAAAATCGCCATCACCAAATGGATAGTTTTAGAATCCTGTGAACACTTGAGCATGTTCTTACAGTTCCAGATAAGTTGATATTACTTGTCCTTTGTACTGAATCTCTGAGGACTTTCCATCTAGAGCTTTAGAACCCCTGATTTAAAGACTTACACCCCCCCCCCCCAAAAAAAATTGGCACATCCCGTTGGTATCACTTGTAATGAAAGGGAAGGTTAGTACCGTTTCTCTACTGATCGACTTTGTGACCAACTTCATATCTCCTGCAAGCCCGTTCTTAGGCATACGCTGACTACGCAACCGCTTAGGGCCCCGAACGTGAGGGGGGCCCCCGTGAGGCGCCCTCGATCCCCCGGTTTTTTTTTAAACTGGCACTGCAGCTGTCTGCAGTGTTGGGTGGGGTTTTCTCCTCAGCTCAAGGGAGCTCCACCCCTGACCCCCCTTCTTCCGGGGCCCTCAACCTACGCCCCATGCTTAGGGCCCCCAAACTCCTAAGAACGGCTCTGTCTCCTGTATAGCACATTGAACACCACATCTATATTTGATACAACCTTGATGACCACAAGGCCACAGAAAGATAATTCCCTAATAATTTACCATTCTGTTTCATATATACGCTGGTTTTTAACATTTAATTTTGAAAGCAGGTGACATGTATTATACATCTTAAAAAAAACAAATCTAACAACTTCAATCACGATGTTAAAACTTCGTGTGTGTGTGTGTGTGTGTGGTGTGGGGGGTGGTTTTGGATGGGTGGAGGGAGTTTTCTGCGATGGTTTATCTCAAAATCAATGGACATGCCATGTCAGCAACAGAAGAAACACTCTTGTAGCTTTGTACCGATGAGCAAACGCGCCCGATGGACAACTTCTTTAGTGTTAAAAAGCAGGACGGTAACCTCACACTGTATCTTCTGGCGGTCTCATATGACGGCATCTTCTGTCTGTAGCCGTTGGGTTATCACCTTTGACGTGAACCGCTCACAAATCTGTGCCAGTAGCTGTTATCATCTTTGACTTGAAATAAATTGGACGATAACCACACATATCTTGGTAATAGAAATTCGTGTGTAACTGAGCCCTGCCTACAACAGAGGTTGAAACAGTTTTGGGGAACATACTAATTAGTTCTTTTCTCATTTAATGAACAGTACAATTTCGAAGCTAGGTCAATGCGCTTACGCGGAGAAACGTAAGAACCGGCGTCACCTCTCGGGACCTTTCAGTTTTCCTCGACCCGACTCAGCGCACGTTGTTGCCATATTGAAAGTGAAAGTCAACAACCTTTTTTTTCCCAGGTGGCCGGTGAGATAAGGGTCGTTTTAACATCCTTGTGGCTATGGTGTTTTTTTTTTTTTTTAAAGTACAGGTCCCGCCACTCCAGGGAAGACGGTGGGTATCAAATCTAATGGACAAAGGACGTTAAGGTTTTAGACAATTTAATTTGTGTTAAAAGTTGGCCGAAAAAAAAACAAACGGTTAAAAAAAAACAAAAAAAAAAAAACAAAAGAAAGACTGGTCTAACGCTATGCAAAGAAAATGGACACCAAAGCTAGTGATGGTAAAAGTTGATTTAGTTCTATCAATGAATGTTTATACAAATACAAACTTTGAGTACAGAAGCGAAACACTTTATCAACGTGGACGAAGTGGAAACGAAAGTGCATGCCTCAAAATATAAATATTAATTTATACACTCCATAGTATAACGCCTCGTGTTTTTGTCTAAGTCTCGCTATATGACTGTGGCTACAAGTCTCGATAACTGTAAGCCTATCTGTTAAGAAACCTGTCGGGCTTTATACCGGTATAGGAATTAAATCCAAACGATCTAATGGAGAAAATCAAATCTAGAAATAATTGCGTCACCCATTGGCATTCAATAGAACAAATGGAACGCATTATAATGTAACAGACCTGTTTACCCTCAAACTCTTAAAATCGTACAATATTATCACAAAATCGTTCAATACCGTATATTTATAGTAAAAATAAACATACATTATATACAATGTTTACACCTCAAAATCGTACATTGTACGCCAAAATCGTAAGAGTAAACAGGTCTGATGTAAACAACTTTTTTTTTTACCCAGCAAGGATAAGGGGCGGGCAAGGAAGAAATGACAACACACTTTCGGGTTACCGGAAATTTGATCGAAAGAAATTTCGTGGACGGTAAATTGACCGAACGGAAATTTGGTCGAATATTTTTTTCAGTTCACGCGTTAAAATTTTCGTTCAATTTCTTTTTGAGCGCACTATACCATATAGAAAAACAAAATAATGCGTTCAAAAATAAAGTTGAAGCAAAATTTTAACGTAAAAACTGGAAGGAGAAAAAAAAATGATTCGACCAAATTAACGTTCGTTCAATTAACCGTCGATCAATTTACCGTCGACGAAATTTCTTTCGATCAAATTTCCGTATACGCACTTTCGTGGTCAAGCTCAAGGTCATTACTAGCAGACAAGTTGTGGAGGCTAAAAATAGCTCTATGTTGACGTTTTAAAATAAGCCAAGCCCTACGCTTAACTTGGCGATATATAACAACGGTACATCTCCCGGAAGCTCATTCTTCAGTCTTTTTATCAGCCGTGAAAAGCTTAACTAGCAATTCGGTAAGTTAGTAAAAGGTTTGGAGCACCCACCACTTCGTGAAATAACCGAGAACCACTGATTCGTGCTAAGCATGGCACCACATGGTTCCCACCCGCCCCCTTCTCTTCTCCCCCCCCCCCATCCCGCCTCGCTATCTGTTGATATGTTGCCATGGCAGCCGGTCATGACGCTGACAGTCGTATAATTAACGCGGCTCATACGATATGATCACTGGAGACAGAAAACCATTTCCCCACGCCGGAACCACCACATCAATGTTCATGTTCCTTACTAAAAGACACAAATAAATTATAAAGAGCCGACGCCTCGCTGACGATACGAGTGGCGCGATCCTCAAGGTGCGCCTGACACCAACGCGGGAGGGAGAGGCATTGTTTTGGCAACAGCGTGATCTGATAGGTTTTTAAAAGGAAATAGGAATTCGGGAGAAAGTTAATTTCCCAGTATTTGCGGTCTTGGTATCAAATGTTAAAATATTTTTAAAAGTTGTTGGTGTTTTTACATGGGAGTTCGATTTATTATTTTTTTTAAGAATTCGAAGAAACAGACAAAGTAGTGAGCATGCACGTGAAATTATTGTGTGTGACGCAGATCAATATTTGAGACAACCTTTTTATTTGAGACAACCTTCATGACGTATTTTGAAAACTCAGTTTTGCCATCCGATCGTGGTGTATTGCGTAACCTGCCCAAGGCTGGCAACCGTCCGTAAGCGTGGCCATAAACTGACCTGTCCGCTAAGGACCGCAAGAACTTGAGGTTTCCGGGTGGAAATGAGAAATTGTTTATAAGAATTTTGAAACGAAAAATAACTGGGATTTTCAGCGCGCATGCTATTTTTCTTTCCTTAACTTCGGATGAGTGTAAGCCGTGAAAAAAGAAACGTATTGATTAGAATTGCATACGGTAAACGGAAGCCACATCATTAAAATAGAGATTTGCGTCATATGTATGATAATCACTGTTACAGGCCTACTTTATAGGGGCATAGGTATATGACAAGAATATTTTTTGAATGTTTCCATAGTTACTTAATGTTTTAGCTACACAATGTTTTTTGGCTGCATAGTAGTTGCACAATGATATAAGCTCCATAGTTACACAATATTTTTAGCTCCTTAGCTACACAATGTTTGTTTTTTTGGCGGCATAGCTACTCAATGTTTCTAGCTCCATAGTTACACAATGTTTTTGCTCCATAATTACACAATGTTTTTGCTCCATAGTTACACAATATTTTTAGCTCCTTAGCTACACAATGTTTTTTGGCGGCATAGCTACTCAATGTTTCTAGCTCCATAGTTACACAATGTTCTTAATCCATAGTTACACAATGTTTTTGCTCCATAGTTACAGTGTTTTACTCCATAGTTACACAATGTTTTTAGCCCCATAGTTACACAATGTTCTTAGCTCCATAGCTGCGCAACGTTTTTAGCTCCATAGTTACGCTATGCTTTTAACTCCATAATTACGCAAATTTATATTTTAAAAATGCGTCCGTAAAAAAAAATGTGTTACGCCCATATTTATTTTGAAGATTTGAAATATTTGTAGGTAGCTATTATTTTAATGAGTTGGCAACCCATAATCTACCGCCAAGTTCTGCGCCTTCCACCTGGTAGCCCAAGACTAAAATTAAGGAAGGAAAGACATTTCTGAACATTTTTCAAATCAATAATTGATTTCTTATGTTATCTTTATGTCTAAGTGAAACCCAACTCTCCATATAGCATTAAAATAAATATTTGGTTCTCGAACCAAGCCAAGAGTCACGCTCAAGGAGAAAAAGAAATATATTTTTTGTTTTTGTTTTTACAAATTTGTTAATGATGTAAACATTTTAAAAAAATCTGAATCGCCACTAAGTGGTCTTAACACATCATTGAGAAAATGTATGGTATTGCTTCATGGATTTAAAAAAAATCATTTATGATTATTATTATTTTATTATTTATATTTATTTAATGAATTATTTTCTTATTTTGGTGGGGGGGGAGTGTGTGTGTGTGTATGGGGGGGATGTCTTGGGAGGATAATATTGAGTTGCACGAGATCCCATTCACTATATGATGAGATATTTGTGTGTGTGGGCGATTCTTGGGTTGAGGACGGAGAGACTTGGGTAGTTTTCCATAGCATCATATATGCGCTCATTGCAATCTTTTATAATGTGTATATCAAACACGAAATGAACGTTTCGAATGCCGCACATTTTTTTTTAAAAAACCGAACGTACACAATTTAAAACTTGTTAAGCAGAGTAAACAAGAAGATTATTGTGAACCGATTCCATCCTCTCCAGAATCCTTATTGGAGAGCCATCCTTATTGGAGAGCCATCCTTATTGGAGAGCCATCCTTATTGGAGAGCCATCCTTATTGGAGAGCCATCCTTATTGGAGAGCCATCCTTATTGGAGAGCCATCCTTATTGGAGATCCATCCTTATTGGAGAGCCATCCATGGCTACCTGGTCATAACCCCGGGGGTGTGACAGTACGTGTAATCGATGTGTTACATGCCATCTCGGTGCACCCTCTGAGGGATGTTTATATCAGGATAATGTCTAATTATATCAACCTGGTTGTTAACTCTTAGTTGGTGTGGAGCGTCATGATCCTAGACTTTATGTTGGGACGTTATGTCTGTCACGTACTCAGGCACACATTAATTCGCCATGCCTGCTTCTGATCGGGTGTCAATATCCAGGGAAAAAACTTCGCTACAAAGCGATACTTCTTCATCAGGTTCTTTGAGAGGATTGTCACCGATCCGTAGTTGATTGGTTTCTATCATTAAATCCTTGAACACGTTCAAACGACGTAATCACATCGAGATGAACACAAATCCCTTTTCCATCAGCAATGTAAACTTTGATCCCGAAACCTATCTATCAGGCTGTTCAATGAATTAAACACATGCATACCTCAGCTCACCATAAGAAGGAGAATTGTGCAAAACCATTCACTACAAAGTTCTCTCAACGATTGCTGAACGAAAATGAAATGCACATACGCCAAAGACACTGCGTCTTAATGGGAGTCGCTTAGTCACTTCCTTGTTTGGTCACGTGAGAGTAAGCCATCACTAGGCTGCTACACACAACAAAAGATACTTCATCAGTGCTTCCCCAATGTCATGTTACTTAAAAATTTTACCTTTCGTAATATTCTGGAATACACGCGTTTTTTAAATGAAATACATAAATGTGACAATATTTATACGTCAGTTATAATTAAAGGAAGAAAGTTATTTCAAGAAAAATTTGTGAGTGATATTCGATGGGAACTATCAGTACTATTATCGGCAGGCTGTTGTTGAGCTCCGTGCGTGCTCATGACGTCATTTGCGTGTTTATTCAATATTGCTGCAGGTGTCATTCCCCTTTGTTTATTTTATTGTTAATTTTCATTGGACGAAATGTCGGCATACCCATGACGTCATTTACGTTTTTATTCAATATCGGTGCGGCGAAGGAATATTTTAATAACCGGTTGGAACAAGATTTCATGTGAATAATTAACGAAGGTCCACTTTGTCAAGCCATTGTCTTAAATGTTCTTTATCCTTAAGCGGAAACTTATGCAGACTTATACCGCTGTCCTCAACTTGACTGTTTGAACACCCAAAAGCCGAACATTGCCTAGGTGTCTTGAATTACTATTTGTAGTGTGTGTCAAGCACTGGTGTGTTGTATACAGCCTACCGGAAGTCTTACTCGTTTTTACTCTCATCACGTGACAAATCAATCGAATAAGCGACTCCCATTACTATAAATATACGTCATCAACTTAATGGTGGGAAAAGCGTTCATTAACTAACTCTCAAAACACGCGCACAGTAAAAGACAATATTCGATGTGCAAAATTACTTATGAATATCGATACTCGAAGACAAGGATCTCTTGGTAGATTCTTGGACTGATTCCTAGCATTTGACAGACCTGCTGTGTTGTTGGGCTCCTTGTGGACTAATTAATGGATTTTTAGATCTTTTTCTGGCTTTTTGGCAATGTCAGGACGCTTGCTGGTTGTTCTTTATTTAACCGACTCTATCAGCCTAGTAACGACTCTATCAGCCTAGTAACGACTCTATCAGCATATTAACGACTCTGTCAGCCTAGTAACGACTCTATCAGCCAAGTAACGACTCTATCAGCCTAGTAACGACTCTATCAGCCTAGTAACGACTCTATCAGCCTAGTAACGACTCTATCAGCCTAGTAACGACTCTATCAACCTAGTAACGACTCTATCAGCCTAGTAACGACTCTATCAGCCTAGTAACGACTCTATCAGCCTAGTAACGACTCTGTCAGCCTAGTAACGACTCTGTCAGCCTAGTAACGACACTGTCAGCCTAGTAACGACTCTGTCAGCCTAGTAACGACTCTGTCAGCCTAGTAACGACTCTGTCAGCCTAGTAACGACTCTATCAGCCTAGTAACGACTCTATCAGCCTAGTAACGACTCTATCAGCCTAGTAACGATCTCTGTCAGCCTAGTAACGATCTCTGTCAGCCTAGTAACGATCTCTGTCAGCCTAGTAACGACTCTGTCAGCCTATAAAATACCCAGTCAGTCCAAAAAAAGACTCTGTCAGCCTAGTAACGACTCTATCAGCCTAGTAACGACTCTATCAGCCTAGTAACGACTCTATCAGCCTAGTAACGACTCTATCAGCCTAGTAACGACTCTTTCAGCCTAGTAACGACTCTGTCAGCCTATAAAATACCCAGTCAGCCCGAAAATTGACCCTGTAAGCCTATAAAATAACCAGTCAGTCGAAAACAACGACCCTGTCAGCCCGAAAATTGACCCTGTCAGCCTATAAAATACCCAGTCAGTCCAAAACAACGACCCTGTCAGCCTATAAAATACCCAGTCAGTCCAAAACGACTCTGGCAGCCTATAAAATACCCAGTCAGTCCAAAAAAACGACTCTGGCAGCCTATAAAATACCCAGTCAGTCCAAAACAACGACCCTGTCAGCCTTTAAAATACCCAGTCAGCCCAAAACAACGACTCTGACAGCCTATAAAATAGACCGCCCGAAAATCGACCCTGTCAGCCTATAAAATACCCAGTCAGTCGAAAACAACGACTCTGTCAGCCTATAAAATACCCAGTCAGCCCGAAAAACGACCCTGTCAGCCTATAAAATAGAGTAATAAGGGAAGAGACTGCAGTCAGGTTATCAAAATAGGAAAGAGTAAAACAAAGTAAAGTTAAACCTTTAGAAAAAAAGGAACGCAACAAAACAACGAACATCTCGACAGGAAGCCTTCGTCGGCGAACAAACAGAAAAAACAGAATGAAATTTAAAAAAAATAGTAGTAGTATTTGAGAGGGCAGCAAAATAACTGTCTGTTAGCCTGGAACTCTTTGTCAGCCTAGAATCTACTCATTTAGCCTATGAAATACCCATTCAGCCCAGAAAACGACTATCAGCCTAGAAACAACTTTGTCAGCCTAGAAACGACACTGTCAGCATAGAAACAACATTTTCAGCCTAGAAACGACACTGCCAGCCTAGAAACGCTCGCTTAACTCATATGCTCTGTTATTCTCAGTAAAACAGCTTACAGAATTCTTCCCATTTGTTATATTTTCATACTAAACCTTTTATTTAAAAAAAGAAAGCCGCTTGACTGCGTCTTTTGGACTCTGGTTTTCAACACCCTCATACATCGCCCCACTCCGCAGTTTGAGGAATCTGTGTTGTGTGTGTCTATGTTGAACTGGGAGGCACATGCTTGAAAGGCAAATTATTGTTTTGTTTTGTGTTTGTTCGTTGATGTCAGTCGTTGGTCTTGTTCCCGGCCTGTTTATCTCCAGCTGAATACCCGTAGAGGGAATCGTTTCAAATATATTTTAATTTCAATATATGGTCGACCCCCCCCCCCCCGCTCAAAAGATACGAAAACACCCCCGGTTTAGCCTGTTTAGTTTTGGTAAATCCTTTTGTTGATAAACGCATGCAGATATCATATGTACCGCACTCAGTGCCAGCTTAACCCAGCTGTAAAACATCCATTGTCAAGCACCAAATTTGAACTCTGATGTTGCAAAACAAGTATTTCCATAGACATGTGTCTGGTATCTGTATAACAGGAGTTCTTCGTCATTCACATAAGGCCTTGTTGCATAATAAAAGAGTCCCTTAAAAACACACACACACACGCACAAACATGGCGTAGCTGTTGTAAATCATGTCTTTCCATTAGCTACATGTTTGCTCGAACCATGAAACTACACGCCCATCTCATGTTATATGTTTTATTTGTATGGTTATCACAATCTTCTTTATCACACAATTTTATAAGGCATTGCTATTATATTATTCCATACAATTTTCTCATTTGTCTCCGAAACAAAAACACAAACGGCTGCTTTAAAAAAAAAAAAAAAAAAAAAAAAAAGAAAAAAAACTGTAAAAAAAGTCCCGCGTAAAAAAAAAAAAAAAACAAAAACACAAACGGCTACTTTAAAAAAAAAAAAAAAAAAAAAAGTCATGTCAATACACTGTAGAGAAATGTCCGCGTAAAAAAAAAAATCAGAGCCGATCATTCAGATAACAAGAATTCAATATCTGAAAATCGTTTATCATGCAAACCCCATGTTTGTGGTAATTGAATTTTATTTTATTTATTATTATTTTATTATTTTTGTAGTTTATTGGCTAAGGTTCCATCGTTGAGCGCCGTCACGTCTATTTTCAATGTTTAAAGATGCATGAAATAATTGGACAGATAGCGCTGTATCACGAAATCAGCATTGATTTTGGCCCTTATTTCGCGCAAAATAACTATCTCAGAAAATGATTATTTATTGCGTTTTATTCCCCTCCCCCCCCTTTTTTTTTTCCTTCTAGGAAATGTAAAGTTCTTAAATAGATTTTCTTTTAATTATAGTATTAATAAAAAATCTTTCGCCATGACTGCTCAACAAACTGATCTCAATATTGATCCTTATTACGTTTTGGTCAACAAATCATGGATTCGAAATTTATAGAATTATCAATGGTGCACAAAAACAGAAGGTTTTGAGAGTCTAAGTAAGCCATTGAAAAACAACTGTGGAAAGTAGCGAACATTTTCACACACGTCTGGAGTAACTCATGTCACCGATTAGTGTGCTGCAAACTCAAAGCCCGAAGAAAGAATTCCGGAGTTAAATCAGTGTCGGGATCTGGTTGTATGAATTGTTTTGTCTTTAGTCTGCTGATAATAAGTTAGTTGTGAAGGTATGTGCCTGCCGCTAATTATTTGTATAAAACTATTCAGGGTATTCTGGTTGCATGGGATTCGTGTGGGGAAAACATATCACACAAATAAATAACATCTGGAGATGGTCATCGGGAGCTAAAGATATCCAAAGTCTTCTTACGCAAGCGCCCCCCCCCCCCCCCCCCCCCCCACAAACCAAAAAAAAAATTGTTGGTAGAAAAAAAAAAAAAAAAACCCCCCGCCTCAAAAAAGTTATGAAATTTGGTGATGCAATAATAACTAAATGAACAAGTAGCAAACCGGTCGCTATATTCTTGATGGCTCGGCCGTATTTGAGCCCTGTCTAGAACTATATCGTAGCGAAAATATCACTGTGCTTACAATACACTCGCTTGCAGGGTTTCGCAACCTGGGGTGCTCGCAACCGTAGGGGTGTGAAGGAGGCATCTCGGGGGATGCCAGGAAAGGGGATTATAAAAGAAGAGAGAAGACGTGAGCTTTTTAATCTTATGAAATCATTTCCGAGTGGATCTAGTCCGTCCCGCTTTCATAGCGCACCGTTATGCGCTCTCGTTCGCTGCTCCCCCCCCCCCGGTCGTACGCTTTATCACGTACACACCAAATGCACACAAAAGAACTAAGCGCCATCTGGGGCTATCACTATAGATTATGCACCTCTTCCCGTATTTAACTCAAGCAACGTTGTTGCGTCGCCCCAGCTACTTATAAAAGAAATGTTGATATACTTTTAACCATTTCACCGTTAACAACTTCCTTCATGTGAAAAGTCCCAACTTTATTGTCTGAGTTCTTAAGTTCTCTCCCTTGCAATTCAATAGATAAAGTTGAGATCAATTTCTTTCAAATGTTAAAATGCATTGTTGCTTTTGTAGGGACTGCAATACTTGGTCAAACTATTCGTTGGCGGTGCAAGACTCGGTCAAACAATTCTTAGGGTGTTCAAGACAGACTTGGTCAAACAATTCGTAGGGTGTGCAAGACAGACTTGGTCAAACAATTCGTAGGGTGTGCTAGACAGACTTGGTCAAACAATTCGTTGGTGGTGCAAGACTTGGTCAAACAATTCGTAGGGGCTGCAAGACTTGGTCAAACAATTCGTTGGTGGTGCAAGACTTGGTCGAACAATTCGTAAGGGGTGCAAGACTTCTTAATTAATTCGTCGGGGCGCGGAGTAAAGAAAAGGTTGGGAACACCGCTTTAGTGAGTCTTTGGTTGAACACCGCTACAGCGGTTCCAAAACGGTGTTCCGCAATGGCCCCGAGGGTGTGAACCGTGAGTGATGTCGGCTCCAAGATGGCCAAAGCATCCGAACCAGAACCGCCCGTGTCAAAGTCAAAGCCATGAAAGGAGTTAGTGAAGCTCACCCGCCCGGATTGGCATGCCCATCAAGGCATTATCCCATCGGTCTGGGGGCTTGTGTGGCGTGGTATTTCAACAACAGATTTCAGAAACAGAGAGCTTGCCCGGAGCTCTAAGAGTGGTATCATTTACGAGTAGTTGTTGTTTTCGTGTGTTTTTATTTCAATTAAGCTTACGTACACCGGAGCTAGGAGAAAAAGCGCATGTACTTTTAATGGCTTTTGTTGTAAAAAAAACAACAACATTTGTTTGCTTTCTGTTCTATCGATTTAACTCAATGAAGAGGCTGTACTGTATGCGTTTTTTTTTTATAGTACATCAGCCGGATGTGAAACAACAATGTTGTGTGTATGGTGACGTTACAACCGCAAGTCGACATGAAGCCACCGGTCCCAAGTCACAATGTCTTTATTAAACTTGCGTTAAATGATCTCCCCTGCAACATTGACCCCACAACATTTTACAGGCAACATTGACCTCACAACATCTTACGGGCAACCTTGACCCAACAACATCTTACGGGCAGCATTGACCCCACAACATCTTACAGGCAACATTGACCCAACAACATCTTACAGGCAACATTGACCCCACAACATCTTACAGGCAACATTGACCCCACAACATCTTTCAGGCAACATTGACCCCACAACATCTTACGGGCAACATTGACCCCACAACATCTTACAGGCAACATTGACCCAACAACATCTTACAGGCAATATATTGACACCACAACATCATACAACATCTTACAGACAACATTGACCCCACAACATCTTACGGGCAACATTGACCCCACAACATCTTTCAGGCAACATTGACCCCACATCTTACGGGCAACATTGATCCCACAACATCTTACAGGCAACATTGACCCAACAACATCTTACAGGCAATATTGACCCCACAACATCTTACGGGCAACATTGACCCCACAATATCTTACAGGCAACCTTGACCCCACAACATCTTACGGGCAACATTGACCCCACAACATCTTACAGGCAACATTGACCCCACAACATCTTACAGGCAATATTGACTCAACAACATCTTACAGGCAATATTGACCCCACAACATCTTACAGGCAACATCGTCCCCACAACATCTTACAGGCAACATTGAACCCACAACATCTTACAACCAACATCGTCCCCACAACATCTTACAACCAACATCGTTCCCACAACATCTTACAACCAACATTGACCCCACAACATCTTACAGGCAACATTGACCCAACAATATCTTACAGGCAATATTGAACCCACAACATCTTACAGGCAACATTGAACCCACAACATCTTTCAGGCAATATTGACCCCACAACATCTTACAACCAACATTGACCCCACAACATCTTACAGGCAACATTGAAACAACAACATCTTACAGGCAATATTGACCCCCACAATATCTCACAAGCAATGTTGACCCCACAACATCTACACGCAACATTGACCCAAATACATCTGACAGGCATCGTTGACCCGAACACATCTTGCACTCAACATATACCGGAACACATCTTACACGTAACATTGACCCGGCCACATATGTATCAACAGTTGATGTCAAATAACTGTCACGATCACTAAGCGACAGCTACTTTTGAGGGGGAGATAACAACGAGCAGACAATTTTTGTTGTGCAGAGCATGTGAACGTAATTGCCGGCCGCGTTGGTTGTCATCATTAGAGACTTGTCGGTGTTTGTTTGGATGATCCGTTGTCATGGCAACTGCGTTGGGCTGTTTTCATTTATCCCTAAAGTCGCCATTTTATGTAATTTAGGGTGGGGGAGTTCGTGACACTTTCAAACGTATTTAGAATGCTTTAAAAAATAAATAATTTGTAATCGTGATTACGATCCAAAGTCTGTGAGGTGAGATTGGATTGCCATCTCATAACAAGGTTTGAACAATTGGTCTGCAATTTCCTACATTAACATCAATCATGGTTGTCCCCAGTTCCACTCTGCTCCATTGCTATGGTTTAATTTTAGAAAGGATTACAGAAAGGGGAAAAAAACTGGGCTTTACATCATGTTCTACTCATTAGTAAACACAATTAGCAATACAAAACAAAAATACTTCTTGATATTAACTTTTCCCTTTATTTAAAAAAAATAATCTTTAACTTTAAACAACACAAAAAAAAATCATCTCCAGGACATATTCACATTGATATTACTTACAAAACTATATTTTTTCAGTCTTAATCTTCCTGTATCTTCAACGCATAGCATATCAGACGATAGTAGCCACTATGATTAAGTTAAGTCAGTTCGTGCCATGGGCTTAAAGAAACGCTCTAGGTGACAGTGAATGGGTACATTTCAATGCTTGGAGATCGTGTTCAATATGACCAGTGTATTTCAATGATCATATTGTAGTAGATTGGTGGTTTAGGGTTGACTTAGGTGACAACGCCAAACACTGTTGTAGTGTGGTGTGTAGGTGATCCTGCCGACAACGCCAAAAACTGTAGTAGATTGGTGGTTCGTATGGGTTGCCTTAGGTGACAACGCCAAAACACTGTAGTAGTGTATACTGCATTACGGCCCGACTACCTGGTAAACATGTCTATAGGCTTCTCCCTTTAGCGGGAGGGACCGGACAGTCAATAGAAAGGACCTTCTAGTAGCCAAAGCACCACTTTTGGACCTCGTACCAGCTTCAAGTGCCACACCCCCAGAAACAATCGAGTCCAGTGACAGTGACGAGGAGGACCCCGTGATAATAATCAGGACAAAACCGAAAGTGACACTGACGAGTAGTCAACCTAGAACAGTGGCAGAATCACCTCCGCCAATTACGCCACGCAGATCCGTCCGCATTACTCAAAGAGGGAATAAACCCAGAGTAAAGATGGATCTGTAGTCTACTCTCCATCACGATGGAATATCTTTTTTTTTTCTTTTCTGTTATGCCAATGCATTTATACCCTTGTTCATTCGTAGAGTACATTTTTTTCTTCTGGAATGTTAAACTTTTCATGTTCATTTGTAATCAAGTTAAGTAGTGTTTTATAAGTTTATTGATTGTCAATCTCACTTAATGTACCCATTTACAGTGAGCTCACCATTATTAGGTATGCGGCAGAGAGCCTTGTCCCCTAAAGATCCACGTATGCATGCGTCGACCAACACCTATAATTGATATAGTCCTAATAACACATGCTGAACTGCCTCAAGTTTCATATAAACTTAGGCGTATATACCAGTATACAATTAGCGATTGTACATCGTAGTGCTTTTGGTAGACGTACTGCCATGCTACAAGTCTTGGGGTGACAACGCCAAAACACTGTAGTAGTGTAAATTGACCCTGCTCGCAGCGCCAAAATCTGTAGCCGAGTGGATGACGTTTAGCTTACAGTTTTATAAATAAGATCAAAATCAAAATGAAACAATCAGGTCTTGAGGACTATAGCTTTTTTAATTAATGCTCTCCTATGATGAAAACAAGAAAAAGGACACTATGAACTATGGAGAAGAAGCCTATGAAGAAAAAGGCTTCTATGAAGAAAAAGGACAATATCTGAAAATAAACAAATAGTACAGGTCAACAATGTCCTGACTAACATAGCTAAAAATAAACATGTTACATAACCACGTAATTACAGGTGGCGACAACATATACTTAATTAGAAAGCATGATAAATGATACGTACGTAGTATTGTTTTATACACATGGCAAAGATAATTATCTTGTACTACGAATGTTTTAACTATAAAAGAAACCACGTGCAGTGTTTAATTTGAAACACGTGCACAGTGTTAATGCTACACACAGAACCAGAGTGCGATGTGAGGGCTAACATAAACTTTAAAGATCTTGAAGTTATAATAGTATGCCATCCAGGTATGGTGTCTATGTAAGAGGCACACATAGCGGGACAGTAAATGACTACCGTTGGCTTGATACTTGTATCTGTCCATCGCTGTGTCTTGTTAAGAAAACAGCAGATTGCAGAATGAATCATAGTTAAATTATATGGGATGTGATCCTCACATGCACTATTTCCTATGTGAGAATTTAGCACAAGGCAGGAAAGTTAGCCTATTACACATATTTGACGGACACTCGCTGGTTGTATACTGTTGTATCAATAGCTTATTTTATAAGCGCATTGCAGTATGTGTACCCAGAACGATATGCAGTTGTTTGTTACGCACAAACCCTGGTCACTGGTATCTATTTATTAATCCTATTAAATAATTTATTTAACGGTTGTATGTTAACCTTTAAAATAGCATGAGCATAAGTCTACACGCTGTAGGTTATCCTACACTCTATCCTGGTTATAAGTCTGAACAGAAATCTTCCAATGCTAACACTCAACAAGTTCCTACTAACCACAAAGAAATAAAAATGGCGTAATTGCCTCTACTTACAGAGCGTTCCAATGGGCCGCACTGAACAAAGGCACAATGCAGGTATGCTGACCAAAGCTCGAAATGACCCCTACCTCGTGTGCTCCCCTTTTTAAAACCGTGCGCGGACATATCAGAGAGCCCCTACGTCACACCTAAACCGAGTCGGTCTAAGTTTTGCCTTCTGGCCAGTTTCCTGGGATAAAATGCCTAACTCTGGGGACTAATCCAGAGTAATAATTAAAATCTTTATCCACATCCCTAACGACTTATATGTAATCTGTGCAGTTTTGTCTTAGCTATCTAAGATGCTATTTTATATTTTTATGACTTAAATAGTTTTTAAGATATTTTAACTAGAAGGGGGTGGGGACCACTATAAATGAAGGCGAAAACTCCTTTAATGACTAAATATTAAAATATCCTCCAACGATGGAAACTTGTAAATATGCTAAGGTATAGTGAATAAAATCCCCGTCTTAACAAGATGTAATGTATAACTTAATACGCTAGGGCTCCTGACAAATAAATCATTGAACCTCTAACCAATGCGCACATCGTGGCATTTTATTATTTCCTCCCTATGCGCCGGTCGTATAGTGACCGTCCGGGGGGGGGGGGGGGGGAAGGTGAAAAGGGATACCTGTTACGCACCGCGCCAGTGCTACTACACACCGCGCGGCCTTGAGTTGGGCGCCAGACATGGTTTACGTAACGGGTCAAATAGTGGGTTGGGGCATACACTGCCACAATATTTAACTTTAACCCAATTGTTTTCGCTTCCTAATGGTATAATAATGCACACGTACAATGTGATCACAATGTTATCGCAACGTAATCACAATGTAATCACAATATAATAACAAAGTTATCGCAATGTAATCACAATATAATCACAATTTAATGGCAATCACCCCCCCCCCCAATCCCCAATTAACCAACAAAAAAACAAAAACAAAAAACATTTGTTTTGGATCATTGAAACAATCTCATCTTATTTTAAGTTTGCCAAAAAAAAACTCGGTCAAGCAGCACATAATTGGACTCAGTGTATGGTCGCAACATGCGTCACGAAATGCCTCGCTTCCTATTGTGAGAAATAAAGTGGCACCGCCCCGCTCTAACGTGACGACCGGCCACCGACCATTCAATACCACGAGTTTACCTTCTGTTGAGAAACATCGGACTCGGTTCGTGTTTGGCCCTTGACGAATCCTTGGAGATTATGCAATAGTTAACATTTAATCCCGCACAAAATATCTGACTTAATGGGCGTACAAAGCATCTATGGGAGAGGGGCGTACCACGCATTTATGGGACATGGGCGTACAACGCTACTGTCGGACGGGCGTACAAAACATCTCTTAGACATGGGCGTGTAAAGCAACTGTCGGAAGGGCGCACAAAGCATCTATCGTTGCCAAGTTCAAGTGGATATTACCGCTTTTCATCGCCAATTTCCACCATTTAATACCCCCCCCCCCCGCGCAATATGCAACCGCCATCTTTGGGCTAGAATTTTATCGTTGCTGTTGTGTTGTTGTTTGTAGAATCGGCGTCCATGGTAACGCTGTTTAGACCGGCGGCCGTTAGTCTTCAGGAGACACTACCTGGGATCTTCGAGTAGCTGCCCCCTACCCGCACACACACTTTTTGCGCCCCCCCCCCCATATCCCGTCCCAATCAATAAACCGTTTCTATCAACAAGATAAACCTGCAACTGGCTTCAGGGCACGGCTCTTTTATGGCAGATCACGTGAGGACGTGTCGTTCAAAACATTGGAGTCATCTTTAGCCCCGACAGCTTTATCAAGGTCGACCTGGTCTCATCCTCACTTCGACATTGGAAACGACAATTCAATTAAATGGTGTACGAGAATAATGTGAACCAAAAGCAGATAATATAGACTTTTGTGTTTGGTCTAATAAATGGACACGAATGATACGTAGACGTGAACTGTTCTAATGTTAATGAAAGTGAGGGGGAAAAAATCATCTATCTGGAAGTGAACAAAAATTCATATTATTTATCCAAAGGGAACCATGAGAATTGACATAATTAAAGGACTCGGTCACAAACGTTACTTGAATGTTTCCGGCAACGCTATGAAGTATCCCCCGTCTCCCTCCACTGTACACCCACACCCGCCCTGTTACGTGGTAGCAATGCCTCGCACCATTCAAGGTTGATATTCACATGGAATAAAAGTGTAGTCTGCACATCATTTTCACAATCTGTGCTGGTGCCGTGTGTCTCAAACGAACGGCTTGTTGATTTAGTTAAGTTTTCAGATTAATGGTGTGTGAGGGAGAGAGTGTGTGTGTAGAGAGAGAGTGGGGAGAGAGAGGGAGAGAGAGAGATGAGGGAGGGAGAGAGAGAGAGGAGGGAGGGAGAGAGGAGGGAAGGAGAGAGAGAGGAGGGAGGGAGAGAGAGAGGAGGGAGGGAGAGAGGAGGGAAGGAGAGAGAGAGGAGGGAGGGAGAGAGAGAGGAGAGAGAGGAGGGGGGGAGAGAGAGAGGAGGGAGGGGGGGAGAGGGGGGAGGGGGGGGGAGGGGAGGGAGGGAGAGAGAGAGGAGGGAGGGAGAGAGAGAGGAGGGAGGGAGAGAGGAGGGAAGGAGAGAGAGAGGAGGGAGGGAGAGAGAGAGGAGAGAGAGGAGGGAGGGAGAGAGAGATGTAAGCTCCACTGTGAGGAAGGTTTAGAAAATAAAACGTTTAATTTAAAAAAAAAGACACACACAAGTTGTTTGGTTGTTACCATTAAACTGCGAGCCCTAGTCCTGCACAGTAATCAATGTAAGGCGGTCACCCATTTCTGAGAATTCAGCCTCGATAGTTTGTTTGTTTTAGGAACCCGTGCGCTTTTTGTGTGGAATACCCAGACTTTCTGCTCTAAAACTGTTGACTTCGTGCTACCGCACCAGCGACCTTTCTAAGGCGGTCTTCGCCCTGCTTGTACGTTGATTCAGACTCGGGTTTCTCATTGCATTTCCTCACCCCAGCGTTTGCATTATATATGAAATATTTTATCTTTCGTGATGATATTCTGTAGTGTTTTTGTGAAAGACCATACCATTATCAGCTCATTTGTTTTCTTTCGGCAAGTTATTTATATATATATTTTTTTTTATACTCGTGAAGCACAGACCACAAAGAGAAATCATAGTACGTGGATACTTCAGAATGTTAACAATTTTAGTTGAATATGAGCGATGTTATTTTTTTTATTTATTTTTTTTTAAATTTTCAAATCACAATAACTCTTAGGGGCCGTCCTTAAAGTACGTCACGATACCGAAGAAGTCTTAAGAAAGCGTGACACGGAAAAGGGGGCTGGGAAGGGGGGCATCTTGTGCGTCTTTACACATTTTGTTTCATCATACAAATAAAACCTGAAATGGACAGTGATGTTAAACTTTATGTTGTGATAGATGCTGTATTCTGACAGAAGACGTCATTTTTATAAATTGAATAGAATTGAATAGTAAGTGTTTTAGATCCATTGAATTGGTTGTTACGTTTTGAACACTTTGTTAGTTGGAAAGTGTGCAGGTACTTTGGGAGGGGAGGGCTGGGCTGTTGTAAGATTTTTGTCCCCCACGGGGGGGGGGGGGGTGGGTTCTTTTTTTCTCCTCCTAAAACAGTGTAGATCCATTGAATTGGTTGTTACGTTTTGAACACTTTTTTAGTTGGAAAGTGGGCAGGTACTTTGGGAGGGGAGGGCTGGGCTGTTGTAAGATTTTTGTCCCCCACGGGGGGGGGGGTTAGTTCTTTTTTTCTCCTCCTAAAACAGTGTGACCTGCTGTATGGACGACCCCTCACTTGGTCGCCTGACCTGGCTCACCTTCTTGTTTCACCGCTGAAAAGCAGCGACGCCAATGATCTGACGTAACGTTGAAAACAAAGGACGTTTGAATTTGGCACCCGCACTGCACCACAAAGCACGCCAGCGTCCTTAGTAAGCATGGGTTTAAAGTAGGAGACTCGTTCTCTCCGTGTCAAAGTGTGCGGGGCCGTATTGATAGCAACCATCGGCAACAACTACCTTTCAGGGTCCTCGGGTCGGCCTTGGACGTGTTGGTTCAGTTTCTCAAACATTCAAGTTGCTGCGTTTCTTTCGCCGGGACTCGCCGAATCGGAGCAACCTGGCGGAGAATGGCGCCGTTCAGACACGCGGGGTCAGGATACGTTTCACCCGATGGCGACAGAAGTCCATTGGTTCCGCGAATCGTGGGCTGTAATGTGGCCCTTGCTATGTTAGCGGACTACAACCCGAACAGTCAACAAGACAGTTTGTTGTTGTTTTTTGGTGTTTGTTTTTTTGACAATGTATAACTATTTTTCGTCATTTTTTGTTCAATTATTTTTTTTTTAATTAAGAATTTGATTAGAGATGAGACGTAATTTTTGTATCGTAACATTCAACTGACAACTGTTACTGAAAACAAGCAACGAACGAAAATGGAGAAACAAAAGGTTAAAATGCGAACGGGAATCGAACCCGGTCTTAAAAATGCATGGCAGTGAATTGGCAGCCAAGTGCTCTGCCAAGACGAGGCCAGCTCCGATGTCAAATCCGATGACGCTTGATGCGGTGTTTCAGAGTAGAATATCAGGGGACAGGAAAACCCCCTACTATATTTTTAAGAATTGTGTTACCACGCCTATTACTTGGTCATTAAAATACAGATGTATACATGTATTCGTATCACGGCTTAAAATGTGTGTTGTAGTCTATTTGATATTCCACGCACATATTAAATTTTTTTTTCACAATTTATTTGTGTGTGTCTCTGTGTGTGTGTCTCTGTGTGTGTGTGTGCGCGCGCGTGCGCTGTGATAGAATCTAAAAGTTGGGAAGCGCGGATAAAGTTTACAGGTCAGTGCCAATACGATATATCTAGAGATCAAGATCTGGTGACAATGGATGAACATTGTGAGAAGCTCTACATGAGACAAGAAAGGCCGGACTGTATGTACTGAGTGAGTGTACTTTTTAGCTTGGACTTGAAGCTTACCCCTGTCATATATGTGATTTATCGGCATGGCGTTGAAATTGGCTCTTGAACTGGATATATGGCTGGTTGACCAGGCTGCCTTCAACTCAAGTGATCACAACCGGCCATATATTTTATGGTATATTATGTTCAATGTCGGATGTCTTAATTTTTAACCAATCTGATCTTATTTTTCCTTTTTTAAAAAAAAAATGGCGGCAAATAATTTATAACGGCAGGAGAAAGAAGATAATGGTGGAATAATAAGACAATAATAACGACACCCCCCTCCCCCGGGGGGGGGGAAAAAAAAATCCCAATTGATCGCTTGCGGTCTTGTCTCAATCATTGCGTTTCCACGGCAACATAACAAACAGCGCGATGCACTCTCTAGTGTGAGGGGAAAAAAAACGTGAAGAAAGTCAGTTAGTTGTTGGTGGTTGCCATGGTTTCACAACACGTCATCCCTCTCGGGGAGGGTGGGGGGTGTGACCTCTAAAGTTTGAAGCCGCGATGAGATATGATATTGGACTCGTCGCTGTAGCGTCAATGGCTTTGAAGACAGATCAGTTGTTGTCATTTTTCGACTATTCAACTCACCGTATGAGACTTGGACTAAAACAATGGAACACTTTTCTTGTGTACGATGGGGATTGGGGGGGGGGGGAGAAATCGGTGAAGTCAACTTGATTTCAAACAAGTTTGACCTCGACGTGACGTCATATTTAAAAATATTTTCTCAAGCTCCACATCGCTTAAGATTCTCTGCGCAGTGACACTCAAGTCAGTTGCCGTAGTCCATGTACTAAAAAAAAATACACACAGACACACAAAAGGGGGTAGAAATGTAAAAGGCATGCGTTGATACTTGACTCAAAACAAGACCTAATAGTTTTTTGTTTTTTAAATCATGATTGACTTTGAATAAATCTACTTAATGATAGACATAAGTGTGACATCTTGACAAAAAGAATTTAAAAAAAGAAAAGTGGAACAAAAACTGGACCGGTGACAAGAATACCCGAACTTATGACCGAGACAACGGGGGGGGGGAAGGACAAACAACACGACCAACAAAATAGCTACCATTTGAATTTGTTTTTACTCTACATTGGCGCCCTTGGCTTCGGCACTGGGAAAACAGTCCTCATCGTTTCATCTTGACCGGGAGTTTTCATGGCATTAGTGTCTGTATAGAGCACTTTGAGGGACATGATTGGTTGGTGGTCACGAGCCATCGTTGTGAGTTCCAACATTGTAGTGGAAAGAGGTCAGAGTGTGTGTATGTGGGGGGGGTATGGAGATAAGATAGTTTGAGAGACAGGCTAAGAGTGGTTCTATCACTCACGGAGTGCGGCCCGGGAGGGGGGGGGGCGCGGGGGGTGACATCAAAGCTAATCACATGCACGAGTTTCTTAAGTGGTACCGGTCTATTTGGAAGAGACCGTTTGGTGAAGAGAGTAAATACAGAGATGTGGTTCAAAGCTCAGCATACACGGTTCATGCGGCTGGTGGAAGTAATTCAGAAATAGCGGGGCTGCCGATCAAGTGGGATGGTGTTAAACAATTATGGCGGAGCCTTTTTTCATTTTTCGTGATACCATTATTGAGTTCTCCCGCCATTTCTGCCCTGTAAAACAAACAAGCTGCCTCGTCCCCAAAAAGTTTCTATATTAATTCACATATTTTAAAACGAAAAATGATGATTTTTGGCGCCTACTGAAGATAATGCCCGGGGCGGGTTCTCTCCCCCTCCCCGCAACCCCTCCTATTCACACGGCCCTGCTGGTTGGCTCAACAACTTCGAAGCTACTCTGAAGACAAACCCATGTCATAGAAAGCCATGTCATAGAAAGTCATGTCATGGAAAGTCATGTCATGGAAATTCATGCCATAGAAAGTCATGTCATAGAAAGTCATGTTGTAGAAAGTCATCTCACAGAGCATTTTCATCAATCCAATTTTCTGAGATCGTATTCCCCAATATTTATGGTTAAAAGATCTCGGTGAAGTGAGAGTTAACGCGTCTGTTGGAGAAGTACAGATCCATACTGTGGGGAATAACTGTGATAACATTATAATAGTGACCGTTCACGGGGGGGGGGGGGGGGGGAATGTTGGTTGGGGCTCCGTTTCTGGTAATGCAAATGTGGTGGGTGGTTTGATCCCTGTTCTTACCATTTATCTTCTCTTTCCCCTCGACCAGCAGTAAGGGTGATCTCAAATCAATCATCAAAAAAATGTATCTTCGTGTGAGCTCAGGTCTTCATTGAGAAGTCGACGTTTTGCATGAATTCAAAAAAAAATATTGTTAAAATAAACTTTATAGTACAAGTGACCAAAAATGTTTCTGTATTTTCAGAGTGATATGTCTGGAGAGTCGTCCCACCACAGACCCAACATCCAACTCAAATCTGTATGTGTTGGCTGGTCACGAGAACACCTATTGAACACAACACTCCAACCTGTATGTGTTGGCTGGTCATGTGAACACCTACTGAACACAACACTCAAACTGGTGAAGTGATGTTTTGACATGCAGTCTGCTGCCGGCTCTTGTACAGACAAAACACGTCACCGCAGTGCAGGAAAAACTGTGACAAATGGAACAAAGGCAATTTAAAAAAACACAAAAAAATAGGGAATTACAGTGTCAGTTCTTAGAAGTCTCAAGATTAACATTTGAGAGAGCAAACTTTCTTCATTAATAACTGCTGCTATTGAATGCTAGCCCCATTGTAAAAACATTTATATTTGGGTTATGTTTTGTTGTTGTGTTTGTTTGATACTTGTTTTTAATCTGGAAACTTACATTGTTCATCTCAGTTAACATAGGTACTATTGGATAGTTGACTAAGAAAATATTGAGAGAGAAAATGTTGATTGCCCATTTGGTTTGAAAAAAAAAAAAAAAAAAAAAAAACACAACAAAAAAAAAAAAAAAAAAAAAAGAATACCGCTACCACTCAATAGAAAACAGGTTGATGTTGGTTTTTTGGGTTGTTTTTTTTTTCCTCCAGGTTACATTAAAAAAAAATAACTCAACTTGATTTGTTTTAAATGGATTGCTTTTTTAAAATGCACAAAGCAGTGACTCCAAGGCAGGGTTGGACTTCACCGCTAGATCATAAAAGATCATAAAACAAACAAAAAATGTCATAAATCTTTTCACCCCAACTGCAGACTGGGTCCTGGTGACTCACCATATTGTACATAACTCTGCCCTTTGAAGTTGGAAAGTTGTGGGGGGGAAAAAAGGGTGGTGAGGGGGGTGATTTTTGTTATCACCACCATATCTAATTTAAACCCTCCAAAAAGTGACATAAATCTTTAATATCATTTTATTTCTTAGACCCTCCGCATACAAAGGCACACACACACACACACACCTGAGTTTTTAAAAAAAAAAATAATAAAAAGCCAACGCGTTAGTAGCTCGAAAATAGCAGCCATGAACATAAAAGATAGTACAAAAATGAGATTTATTTTTTGTTAAAAAGGGGGATTTTGTTGTCATTTCGGGCAGATCAATGCTTCCTGGCCAACATCAATCACACCAACACATGGTGATCACTGCCATGTTTATGGATGGCTTTGTCGTTTGTTTTCTTCTCATTCAGTTTTACGTCTCAAGTCTTGTCACAGGAAATGGCATGAGATCGGATGAAATTAAATTTTTAAAGTGTTGGATGTTTTCTAAACCCTTGCATATCCTGTAGACCACTGCATGTGAACTTGAGCTTAGCTCTTCATCGGTCATTTCTGTGACATCTTAAGCAACGGATGGTGACTTTTTATCATTTCAGTGGGGCCTGCACCCTTTCATGGAAGCTGCTGTCAGAACTGTTTGTCTTTTTTTTTTTTTTGTCTGGTAGTGCTGCAAGGAAGGGAAATCAAATGGTCCTACTTTTTTTTTTTTTTTTTTCCAAGTGTAAAAATAGAAAGAAAAGTTATTGATTATTGTTTGAAATAAAATCTTTTAAAAA